ACTAGGCAGCCCGAATCCTAAGCTCTTCTCATCGATCGAACCTGGTTGATTCTGATCGAACTCCGGCGAAACCAGCGGCGGCATAGCGATGGGGCGATCGATGACGCTGTTAAAGGGCGAAGGCATCGCCGCAATGTGACTCAAGCTTCGAGCTTCCAGGATGCGGCATGACTCAACCGCGGCGCGTTTTAGCGATGTCAGTCTCATCGCCATTGATACACTTCTCCAAATAGCCGACGACGGAAGTGTAAGACTCGAGAGAGTAAGAGGGCAAATGAGAACGCAACGATGTCGTCTTGTCGAGCGATGAATGAAATTGAATGGAAACCAAAACTAACCAATCGAGTCGAACCATAAAATTTATCTCTGTGATTCGAGATAACCGACTCTGGACCGCAATTCTCAAGTGATGTACCCGGTTTTATTAGGAACCAAGAGGTTTAACCGAAACGAGCCATTTCGAAACCCTCGTCGTGGCTCGTGCTTCCGTCGTCGGGTAAAGTATTACAGATCAAGCGAAGAAGAAGGAAAGTGAAGAAAGCTCTCGTGAGCAACCATGTCGTGGATGAAAGGAGATCTACTTTCGAAAACCAGGAGGCTTGCTGGTGGCTTAGCTACGCGAGAACCTGTTTGGCTTAAAGCCATGGAAGCGTAAATCTCTCTCTCTCTCCAAATTTTCTCGAGAAAATGATTCATTTGATCGATCTGTTCTTCGAATTAGATACTTCCTTATTGACTTATCCATCACAGGGTTGCAATTGAATTCTAGTTTCATTAAAAAAAAGTTGAGATTTTTCTGGATTTAGGATTTTAGGATCCAAGTTTCTTACTGTTGTTGAAATGATGTTCTGTGACTGGTTTTAATGGCAGATCACCTCCTCCTGTGTTTCCTCGCTCTAATGGTAAAATCCAGAGGATTGTTCTCCCTGAGGATTCCTATGTTCGTAAATTCGCCCGTAAGCATCCTCAAGCAAAACTTGACGACCCCATCAAGTAAATATTTCTCCATTTCTATATACCTGCATTTCTGTTTACATTACATCTGTATCAAAGATAGTTTGATGACTACATTACGAGTTTGTTCTTCATAAGGAAATTCGATTTCCAAACAATTTTGGTTTAGTCTCTTGTCTTCAGCTAGAACTTCTCTTCATTTCTGATTAAACGGGAGAGTTTCTTGTGTCCTTCACCATTCTTTCTCGTTGCAAACTCTAACATCTTTTATGTAATGCATTGTCATCTTCAATCCCACAGGGCTTCGGCGTTTATTCCTGATCCAGCACGTGTTTATGGTTGTCGCATCCTCCAGCTGACTGAGAATGGCATCAGCGAGGACGACGCCATGTCTGTAGCCCATGTACGTAGTTTCTTTTCACAGTCTATGATTAGCCACTCAAGGCATAACAAGCAAATTATGCTTCTGACATTTGCACTGAAATAGATGTTTTTGTTCTTCTTCTTGTTGTTGATGTATTAGATTCTTGATATTGTTTTTCAGATGGAATATCTTTCGGAGAGGAAGGAGAAGAAGAAAGCATACAAACGCCTCAAGGAGCTTGCGAAACTGCAAGATAAGGATCCTCCTCCTAAACCGTACGCTAGTGCCAAAAAGGATTTACAAATCCAAGAGACCAAACCCAAGACTGTCGAGACTCCTAGCGTCCGCAGGCTGGTTAATCAATTGAAACAGCAGAAAGATGTGTTGCTCATGGACAAAACCGGAGCAAGTGCAAACCAAGATCACTGGATCGACGAATAAAACTTCTCCATCGTCCCTTTTCTTTTATGCTACTTCATAAGCATTGACACTCTTTTTTAATACAAATGATTTTCAAGAAACAAGTGTTATTTCCATTTGACTGTCGTTTATAATAAGATCATTGGATGATTTCTAACATGTGGCAAAGAGTGACAAGAAAACAAAATGGTTCTCTCTATCTCTCTAATGACCCAACAAGCAATTAGCTTCAACAGTTACATGTGAATACTAAAGATTCTTATTCTAAGCCAAGAAGAGTCTTCATTGCCTTCTTCTTTGATACCACTTTGCCATAAACACCTTTTCCTAGCTTCATTATTCTCTCCATCTCTGCAACATTACTACAACCTCCATTGTTCTTCTTCTTCTTCATCATCCCTTCAACAACCATCTTCATCAACCTCTCATCACTTCCAATGACATCACAGACACTGTCAACAACAACCTCCATTAACGGAATCTTCCTTCCCCACCTCTTCATAAGCCTCTCCGAGTTATAAACCTCATCATAAACTCCCCAATAAGACGCTCTCAACAACCCTTTATCTTTCCCTTTAACCTTCCATCTCTTCATTCCTTCCTCCACCATATAAACCGCGTTTCCTGCATCCACTCCTCTCTCTAAACCCATTTCTATCTCTCTAATCTCTTGGTTACTAACATTCAAGACACTCTCAAACTTGCATCTACTGCATCCGCAACGAAACCCCCATGACTCAGCCATCTCTCTCCGCTTCTCCAATGGAGAAGAAAGCACATCGAAGTAAGCAAAAGTAATCTCTTCCCCGGCCTTGACGTCTCTTGAGGCATGAACAATGACATAGTCTCCAACGTGAAGGCGTCTTGCGTTTGGAATACACGAGTGGTTGATGAACGAAGCTAGAGTCCATAGCCCCACACCGTAATAGTCTCTGTTCTTCCCCATAACTTTACCTGAAACCGCATCTTCCACAAGAGAATTCACATCCAGAATACTTAGTAGCTTCTCTGTATCCAAACTCTGTTTCGAGCTTTCAAATGCTTCTTCAGGCCTAAAGAGAGATATCTCTGGAATCTCCAAACTGTCTTCGTCTTGTCCAGTGGATAAAGCCAAGACAAGTCGACGTGTTCTATCACATTTCCTCACGGATTCAGCAACCTCTTCGATGAAATTCTTCCACATGATCAATTGCGCTTTCTCACCAGACTCTCCACTTCCCAAGATCCCTCTCTCTGTTGCAACAGCCTTTGTCACTAAGATCAAAGCTCCTGCAACAATGCTCTTCGTTGCAAACAACCCACGCCCACTAACCTCAGATTTCTTAATCTCAATTGATCCGATAAACTCGGCAAGCTCCGGCGATCTCCCACGAAACCCACTTAGGATCCAATCGGAAAGATCGAAAGCTCCAGTCTTTGCCTGAAAGTCGAGCTTTTTGCATTTCTCAATGTACCCAGTCACAGTCTCCAAGTTATCACTCGCTTGCGGGTCGAGCAGAGCCGTTTTGAAACACTCCAAGGCCGATGAGTATTTGCTTAATCCGAGCAAAACTTTACCTTTGCAGAGAAGAGTCTTGAAATGTGTGGTTTCGATCTCCAGTGCTCGATCACAATCCCGCATCGCTTCCGAGAAATCGCGAAGCCTTGCTCTCGCCTCAGCGCGATTGCAGAGAGCCAAGCAGAGTGATTTCCGGAGCTTGGGAATCGAATCCGGGTCCGGGTCCGGGTCGGATCCGGAAAGGTTTGAGATTTCGCTCCGGGAGAGATCGATGAACTTGGTGTAAACATGTATAGACTCATCCCATTCTTCCCGGAGAAGAAGCTCCGTCGCTTTGGATCTCAGACTCTGCAACAGCTCCATTGGCCCTTGTGCATCTTCCTCCTGCTCAAATTGCTCTCCTCCCATTTCTTGATTTCGTGAAATTAATCAATCAAATAAATAAATAAAGTGTTGGATTTGGCTTTGATTCACATTTCACAGAATCGTTGTGTTTCCTCCAGAAACCTTTAAATGTTAGGCTCTGTAACGGTCGGATCTTGAGTCTGCGGATTGACTTTCAGTCTTTCACATAATGCTGTAACGGTCATGAAACTACTTAAACAATTACATAGCAATTTCTTTAGTCCTTTAAAAATCGGTAAAAAAATTAGAATTCTTGCAAATTAGAACTTTAAACATAAATTTCAGCCGCTTTATAGTCCTAATTTAACTCTGTTTAGTTACTCATTACTCATTACACCAAACTAGAGATTATACTTCCCGCAAGCGCGGGTTGTTTTTCGGTTAATCATCATTTATATATTTCTAAAATTATATTATATTGTTTTTTGTTATTTCTATAATACTCACGATTTGTAATAGAGACTCATGTTATGTTTATTTTAAATGATCTTTTCTGTATAATACTGAAGATCTGTAATAGATACTCCCGTTATGTTTATTTTAAATGGTCTTCTAATTTTTCCAAAGATTTGGCAACTATTTCTAGAATTTGTTAGTATTTGCATGAATATTTATTTTTAGTATCAAAAACGGTTGTTTAGTGAACTTAGAACTTCCTCTAGTCACCATCGACCTTCTGATTTTCTAAACTCATCAAAATTCTTATTAACATCATCTTGAGCCATGTCCGCCTCTTAACTACATTCAACCACCGCCTCAGTCACCTTTTGAGCCGTGCTCTTTGCCACATGAATCTTTTTATCTCTATTATAAACCTTTTTAAATTTTTTATATACAGTTACAAATAAACTTATAATTTTTCTATTCTTATTAATTTTTAATTTTATAAAATCTATGTTGTTTCATATATTATTTTAAACATGTTAATTTTTTTTCTTATTTGTAGTTATTTTTATATATTTTGAATTATCAAGTTATGTAAAAAATGTTTTGTAACTTTCATAAATCATATAATATCTATTAATTTTCTTAACTAATATTTTTAATATTTTATTTTGTGAAATATATTTTAGGATTTTTGGTAAATAATATAATTTATTTAAGGAAATATAATAACAGTAAACTGTGTAAATTCATTGATTGACTAATTTTAGTTTTAATGTTTGTCATTTATTATTTTCATCTCTTTTGTTTTATAATTTTGGATTAAATGTGGGATCCATCTCTATAAAATTATGCTGATGTGGATGGCTTAGGAGGAGAGAGCAACTCCCTAATTATATATAAGATGGTCTGTTTTTGAATTGCTGAATCAAATTTCTTTAATATCAAAAGCAAAAGAGATTTTATCAGTCAGTCTCAGAAGTGAATCCCTGTCTGTTTAGTAAACTTAGTGATCTCACTCCCCTCAGATACAGCAAGACCAATCCCTGTTCTTCCTCCATTACCAACACCTCTATAGTACAATCTCCATTGATGATCACAGTCTCCATCCATCTCAACCAAGTAAGGACATCCAACTCCTTCATTATCCCACGCCTTGCCTTCACCAACAGTAACCACCGCTTCACCACCGTCCTCCACCCGCTTCCAATCATTTAGCCCGTCTTTCGAAACCGCTAACCCAATGCTCATCTTCCCTTTACTATCAACACCTTCATAGGCCATCACATAACTCCCATCTCTCTTGTTCCTTGTCACACAAGGATACCTTCCTCCTCCTAAGATCTTACCTAATTTAACCCACTTGATCCCTTCTCTAGACCTCGCCATACCGATTCCGAATTCGCCGGTTTTCGCGTCGAACGAATGGTAATACATCCTAAGATCGCCACTTCCATGGAAAACCACATGTGGGGATGCAATGTAGAGAAAGTCCCAATCTTTATCAGACCCAACATCAAACAAGGCACCACTATGATGCTCACCTTCAATTCTAGCCCAATGCCTACCGTCTTGACTAATTGCCAGCCCAGGGAGTGACCTAAAAACCATAGCTTTCTCAACCTTCTCATCACAAAGGTGAAACCTTTCTGGATTTCCAAAACCAAAAGTGGAAACTTTAGATTCAAACTCAGCAGTCTCGGTAGTGTAGCCTGTGTAATACATCCAGTAAACAGAGCTGTTAGCTCTGACTTTGGAGCTCGACATGATCACTACTTCACCAGGTCGAACACTTGCCTTGTCAAAAGCCCACCAGTCTTCACAAGAGCTCATAACCAAACCCACATCGTCGGTTGACTCAACTTTCCTTTTACCTCTTTCCCAGTGAATCCCATTGTTTGAAACTGCTAATCCGACGGAATCGGAAGGTGGGTTTTGATTGGAGCTTCCGTGGTACCACATGTACCATCTCTCTTCGTTATCGCTGAGAAACCTCTTCACAACCGGAGACCCAATCTCCTCGCTGTCCCACGAATCAGAAGAAAGGCCTAGATCGAGAACCAGACCTCTTTTTGAAGACGACGATAAGTTTCCGGATTGTGATGATTCGAAAATCGAATCTTGACCCGTTTGGCTACTTTTGGTGGTCGAGCATCTTGTAACTGTGAGCGAGAGAGGAAGCAAGTGCTTGTTCCGGTAACTGTAAGAGTTTTGAAGCGAGAGAATGGTTGATCGGCATTGTTGAATGGTTCTGGAGGCGGTGACAATGGAGGGATTTCCAAGGAATTTGACGGCAGTAGCTTCCATGGCTTAGAAGAAAGCTAAAGTTGCTCTGATTGAGCGCTCTAGCGAAAGTGAAATCAATCCAACGGGCCACAGATTTTTTGTTGGATGACTTGCAAATGGCCACTTCAAACGTGACACGTGTCTAGTGTTCAATGGTGAACAAATTGGGGAAACAAAAAAAAATCATCGTCTCGACAGATTGGGTAAATTGAGAAGATTGTATTGGGCTTACGATATCGGCCCAACTGAGACCCAAGGAATTTAATTACACCCACAAAACATTTGATTATAATAATAAAAATTGTAAACGTCAAAGCTTATAAATGTTTTGTCATTCAATTTTTTTAAAAATAAAACGACCAGAAATTCAAATTTGATTTCACATTCAAAGCTCTATTTAAAGAAACAGCGAGAAACTAAAAACTCAATAAATTTCGAAGAAGAAGAATTAATGGACTGGATAGTTGTATGTTTGTGAACTTTAGTTGAGAATTGGTTAGCTACCCAAAAATACTAGTAAAATCCAATTATTGATATAGCAACTAGCTGATCAGTTTATTGGAAAATTCAATGTTAAAAGTTTTGTAGACGCTTATAGAAATTTCTTTTTTCCTAATATTTTTGTTAATATATGTAGTTCATATGCTATTTAAAATATGATGTAAATGTATTTGCTAGTATTACTATTCTATAAAAATAGAATAAATAATACTAAAACAAATCAATATCCTTTTTTGCTGTATTTACGAGCATCTAAACACGGTCAACTTTAAAATCAACGGGAGCTTTCATTATTTCTAAGGTAGACCACATGTTACGTAAAACTCCGACTATAAAGAAAAACAATGGGTGATATTGGTTTAACAGATAGTAAAGTTGATAAATAGAACATATGAAATGTTTTCTTGTAATCTAGAGATGAAGAACTGTACTTATCATGCACCTATCACTTCTATGTGTCCTATCATTATGTTCTTCACTTTCTTCTTTCCTTCGTCAGCCAAAGTAAACAACGAAATCCAACATCCGATATCAACTTGCTTCTCCTTCTTCTTTCCTCTTATCTAAGTTTGGCTTGATCCGCCCTTCATATGCGACAATCGCATCGAGCATGACATCAGGCTTGTACCTGATAGATCTATCGAGAGACAACTTCACATTTTCGAGTAGAGTATCACCATTTCTAATCGAAGAAGGAATATCAGTATTTTCCAGATCAACCCTTATCCATACCAGAACATCCTTCTTCATGGTCATTTAATTTTCCCAAAAAATATTAACAAAATATAAAAAGTCAGGAGTACACTATACATAGTGACAAGCCATTTGGAGTAACTAATTTCATTTAGTAATAAAGACTTTGAATGGATGTATGAAACAGATACAGATCACATGCATTTCATCTGCCATGCAGGCCCACCTACATTTTTTCTCCAATCAACCATTTAACACAAATAAATAAAAATACAGAATAAAAGCCCATCAGCTGCATGCAGAGCAACCACTCCAAAAAAAGCAAAGCCTGCAAGGAAGTGGTCTTCTAGGTCCAGTTCACCAGTGTATGCAAATAAATCAGAGTTTTTTTTTCTTTTTTCTTTTTCTTATTTTTTTCTTTTATCTTTCATTCTTTCTATAAAATCCACCCAAAACTCTTTTAATTCACTATTCACTTTCAAAAACGAAATTTGCAAATTCTCTCAAACTTTTGAAAAAGAAACAGAGTTTTTTCTTCTTTTCTCATTTTTGTTGTTTTTTATCTCTTGTTCTTCTTATAAAATCAACTCAATTATTTTCATCAACTATTCAATTTCAAAAACAAAAATCTGCAAACTCTCTCAAAGGTAAATTATTTTTTCTGTATAAAACTTTTGTTTCAAGGTTTATCTTATTTAGTGAGATATGAGATATGAATACATATATTTTGTATTGATTCCCTTTTAAATAACAATATTCATATACAGAGGAGACTATATATATATACCTTTTATAATTTTTGAAAATATTTATCTAATTTGTTTGGAACAACGAAAGATATACATGTTAATTTTATTGAGTCATATTTAAATATGTTTCTTAGTTAAAAACAAATATTTAGATTAATAGAGAACCACACATTTATAATATAATAAATTCATATATGTTATTTATAATATATATGTTAGCTGTGAATATATATATAACTGATAAAAAAAGATTATCATTGAATTTCATGTGTTCCATACATAGACATGCATTATATTATCATCTTTTATATTTAATATATGTTTGATTTTAAATGATTTTTCAGGTTGTCTCATAGCTCAGAATTATATATATCCACCAGAAAAATTCTCAAATCCAAGGTATGTTTTTTTTCTTGTAGCAAGAAATTTAATAAAAATATTAAAATTGTGTATAATGAGTAATATACTATAAATATACTAAATTAGTTATTTTTCTAAAACATAATGAATGCTTTACTTGTTAAACTAAATAAACTTGAGGTTTAGATGTTTTTACTTATTTTTGTTTTTTAGCTTCGCTTTTAAATAACAATATTCATATACAGAGAAGACTATATATATATACCTTTTATAATTTTTGAAAATATTTATCTAATTTGTTTGGAACAACTAAAGATATACATGTTAATTTTATTGAGTCATATTTAAATATGTTTCTTAGTTAAAAACAAATATTTAGATTAATAGAGAACCACACATTTATAATATAATAAATTCATATATGTTATTTATAATATATATGTTAGCTGTGAATATATATAACTGATAAAAAAATTAGCATTGAATTTCATGTGTTCTATACATAGACATGCATTATATTATTATCTTTTATATTTAATATATGTTTGATTGTAAATGATTTTTCAGGTTGTCTCATAGCTCAGAATTATATATATCCACCAGAAAAAATTCTCAAATCCAAAGTATGTTTTTTTTCTTGTAGGAAGAAATTTAATAAAAATGTTAAAATTGTGTATAATGAGTAATATACTATAAATATACTAAATTAGTTATTTTTCTAAAACATAATGAATGCTTTACTTGTTAAACTAAATAAACTTGAAGTTTAAATGGTTTTACTTATTTTATTTTTAGCATTTGAACCTTTTTAGTGGTTTCATTGTTAATTGTAATATTTAATATTATTATGAAGAAGTATAATAATATAATAATATATTTAAGAAAAAAAATTAATTATAAAATTTAATAGATTGATATAAAAAGGAAAATATAATTTATTTCACATGAAATATGTCTAAATATCAAATATATAATTTGTTAGATATATCATATTAAAATAATTAATAAAAAAACTAAATAACTTAAATAATTTTCTTTCTCTTTTTTGTCAAGATTGGGTCTGCAAAATAATTACAAAATTTGACAAGTAACATACATATGAAAAAATTATTAAGTTTTTGAATATAACTAAAATTTTATAACTAACTAAGATTGAAAACAGTAATAATTATATCAATAATGTCTAACTATAAATAATAGATTATTATGTAATGTAAAAAATTATTATATACAATTATGTATATTATATTATAATTTATGTATAATTTGTAAGTAAAGATCTAGACCACTTGATCATGATATAATATGAAAAACAAATTTGTGTATTGTTCTATAAACTTATATCATTTAATTTTTTTAGATATGGCATCAAATCGTAGACAAAACAGAAATTCTCTGTACAACCAGATACTATTCCTCAGACTGAAGCATCATTACGAGTAAGATTCTTACTATTATATTTTGAATTTTTTAAAATTTAATTAGAGATTTAGTGAGTAATATAGTTATAAATTTTAATCGTTCTAGAACGAGGATGATATAATTTGGAATCATAGACGAGAAAGAAAACTTATCGAGCTATATGATCAAGCTCTTGCTATGAGCAACTACCGTTTCAAAGATCCTACACCAGTTGGTAAAGAGTTTATAGTTGAAAAATTCAACGAAGAATTCAGTCTTAATATAGACTACAAGTTCTTCAGAAAAAAACTTGATCATTTGAAAAGAAAGTACAAGAAGTATTTGGGTCTTATACAAAATTCTACGGGAATCTCGGTTGATCCTGTTACATTCGTGATCACTGCATCTGATTCATGGTGGAAAGATCGTGAAGTAAGTACTTTTAATTCTTTTACATATAAAATTTATTAAATAACTTTGCGAGTAAAAAACAAATATTAACTAGAAACTATATAATTTTATTGACAGGTATGTAAAGTTATAAAATCATTTCACAGAAACCCTCCAGAGTTTTGGGATATTATGCAGCGTTGTTTCAGATTGTATGATGTTCACTCACAATCTCAATACTCTGTGAGTCAAAGAAGAGAAGAGATGATGAACGAGGGCTTTGCTGATGATGAAGGTTATTTGAATTCAGAAATCTATGGTGAAGACACACAAGTTCCAAGACACAAGAAAATGAAGAGGAGTACCGTGTTGACATTGATGATCAACCACGTCATTCACACGAGTTTCCACGTGAATCCATGCGTCAAAATACTACCCCGATTAATATGTCCCAGAATCAGGCTGCCAGAGTTTCACAACAAGGAAGAATCAGGCATGAAAGCTCTACACACAGAGTTGCTGGAAGCTCACAAGTCTTATCCAGGAATAGTTCACGAGGAGGTCGCAGAAAGCAATCATTTCAGGCAACTCTAACAGATACAATGGCTGGTTTCAGAGAGTTCCAACGCCAAAGCTTACAACAAATGCGCCCAAATTCTTTCGATCAAGAAGATTATGATGAATGCGAGATGGCTATCAAGATATTTGAATCAATGGAAGTTCAAAAGAATACTGGATTTTATTGGGCATGCATTCAAGCATTTAAGGATGAAAGATTTTGGCGTAAGTATTTCATCGAAAGAGCTGACAAATTCTGACGAAGATAAGCTACAGTTTTTGCAAGCTGTAACAGGATATACACCAGACGGCGAATATGTTGGAAACGGCTAGTCTCAAATCAGAATTATGGGAGCCCAAATTTTGGTGGGTTAACTTCAGGTAATCCATCTTCTGGTAATAATTCATGGGGTCAAACTTTAAATGGACAATGGAGTCATGGTTCTCAACAATGGGGCACACCTCCAAATGCTCAGCAATGGGGCACTCCTCCAAACGCTCAGCAATGGGGCCCTCCAAACGCTCAGCAATGGGGCCTCCTCCTAACGCTCAGCATTGGGGCACTCCTACAAACGCTCATCAATGGGGCCCTCCTCCTAACGCTCAGCAATGGGGCACTCCTCCAAACGCTCATCAATGGGGTTCATCATCAAGTGTTCCACAATGGGGTACTCCTCCAAACACTCAGCAACGGAACACTCCACCAAACGCCCCACAATGGAGCACTCCACCAAATGCTCAACAATGGGGTTCACCAGCAAATCCACAATGGGGTTCATCATCAAGTGCTCAACAATGGGGTTCATCACCAAATAACCGACAATGGGAATCATCACCAAAAGCAAATCAATGGATTCCTCCAACAAATGTTCAGCGTGGATTTTCAGTAGGACCGAAGTGAAACTACAACGATTGGTCAAGTAGAAGTTGCACGTGAATCAGATATTCGTACTTCAGAAAATGTTCAGAGGGGAGTATCACCTGAATTCGGTTTCACAAATTATTCTTCAGAAGCACAAATACCAAGAACAAGATCGCGTAGAGTTGGAGGATTATTCAATATTTGGGGAAATAAACAAGGACCAAATTTAAATGAAAGTCATCAAAGTGATTCAGGAACTGAAGATTAGTTAGTACCACTTGTATTTTGTTATTCGCAGTTATGTTATGTTTTAATAAATTTAATATGTTTTATGTATTTTCGAACATTGAATTTTCTATCAATTTGATTTATAATTTATCTTGTTTACAATATGAATTACTTATTTTTTTTTTGTTATGTTTTATTATGCTTTCAGGCTTTTCGTATATGTCAGTTACGATCACATGGACTCCAAATCTAAGTTACGAGGAGAGAATTGAGTTGTGGAATTTGGAAAATGAGCAATTTGAAGAATTAATAATCCAACCATCATTAAGTTACTACAATCAATATTTTGAAAGAGGACCGGTCCAAACTGGTGGCGGTTTGGGATGGAGAAATATTTGGCGTCGGCTACAAGAAGATGATGCCGCTTGTCTTCAGTTATTACGGATGTCAATTGCTTTCAGAACATTGTGCGATAAACTGCAAACGAGTTATGGTTTACAACCAACATTGAATGTAGGCATTGAAGAGAGTGTGGCCATGTTTCTACGGATATGTGGGCATAACGAAGTTCAAAGAGATGTTGGATTACGATTTGGACGGACGCAAGAGACTGTGAATCGAAAATTTTTTGAAGTGCTTAAAGCGACTGAGTTACTTGCTTGTGATTATATCAGGACTCCAACAACCCAAGAACTACGACAAATTCCTGAACGACTAGTAATGGATCAAACATATTGGCCATATTTTAGTGGATTTGTTGGCGCTATGGATGGAGTTCATGTTTGCGTTAAAGTGAAGCCTGAAGTTCAAGGAATGTACTGGAACCGGCACAATATAACTTCATTTAATATAATGGCGATATGTGATCTCAATATGTTATTCACATATGTTTGGAATGGAGCACCTGGCTCATGTCACGATACAGCAGTTCTCACAATGGCGCAAGAAAGGGATTCCTGATTTTCCTTTACCTCCACCAGACAAGTATTATCTAGTCGATTCTGGCTATCCAAACAAACAAGGTTTTTTGGCTCCTTTAGATCTTCACGGAATGTGGTTGTTCGGTATCATATGTCACAATTTGAAAATGGTCCTCCTCCTAGAAACAAGCAAGAGTTGTTTAATCGATATCATGCATCTTTACGTTCTGTTATTGAAAGGACTTTTGGAGTATGGAAGAAGAAATGGAGGATTCTTTGTGAATTTCCTAGATATGATAAGAAAGTTCAAAAAAGAGTGGTAATGGCGACAATGGGACTACATAATTTTATTAGAATTTCTAATTTTTCAGATGAAGATTTTGCTGATGTAAGAAGAGACACAGAGATTGGCAACACAAGTTCTATGGTAGAACCAAGTGATATGGCAGAAACGGAAATAGGAGAAGGGATTTTATGGTTAACATTAGGGAACATATTGCAAATACATTATGGGCAGAAAAAACATTTCACGTTAATTTTTGAAAATATTATTTTTGTATGTTGTAATCGAATTTAAATTTTGATAATGTTTAATTGTTTTTTTGTTTTTAAAAAAACTTTATGTTTATGATTTAAATTTTTTTGTCTTTTATTTTGTTGTTCAATTAATTAAAAAATATTTATAACTATTTAATTTGTTTGATATGCATTTGATCTGTATGCAGATCATGATCTGTATTTGTTCAACATGATCTGGATTTATTGTTTGATCTGCATTTTTTGATCTTTGTCACCATTCGAAGCCAAAGAGTCGTAACCAAATTATGTGAATGTGATGATTTAAGAACGTGATGTAGACTCTAAATTTGACACATATTTGGGATCCTTTCGTAGCTAGTGACAATCATCAGTACGTCACCCACGTTATGAAAGTAAATGAGTTTTATATACACAGATGTGACATGTTTAATAAGAACCAAAATTTTATCGAAGCGCCGCTATAGGAATAGGACGAGTTCTGTTTTTTTTTTTTTTTGGTAAAAAGACGAGTTCTGATTTCAGTAGCAGCATCTGTATAATTTGCATCTGCATGGGACACGAGCCGATTGACATATGTCACAAATCACAATAGATACTTTCATTATCATTCATAAGTTAAAACGGTTTCGTATTATAAGAAATGTAACGGGTTATATAACCACATAAAGTAAACCTTTAAATTCATCTGAATTTTCTAGAAGAATCATAGAAATGGACGCGGCATTACCAATGCAGTAATGCCTGTAAATGAAAGCAAACACAAGGAAATTATATGGCAACAGAAACTTTTAAAAGAACCGACAAAAAGCGATGGAGCTAACCCTCGTTAGGAAGCCATGTTTCCATTTAGCCGGGTAATTAATCAGCTACCATCTTTTACTGTTAATTTTACTTATTTGAGTTACATCATTTTCTTGAGTGCTAAAACAAGTTTCTTACTAAAGTCAGATGAAAAATAAAACCGATGCAGTGATATTCGATGAAAAGTTCTCTAAAGTAAACAAACATACAAGTATACAACATTTCTAAAGCTTCCTCCAATAACCATAAACCATCTATGGGTTTCGTGACTTTCGTCCATAATCCATGTATATATGTGCTAGTCCACTTGCTGACTTGTGATGCTATCTTCGTAGCCAAGTTGTGACATAAACCATCTCTAACATACATACGACTCAGTCAGTAAATGTCTATTATTCACCTGACCTATGCGTGTACATGGATCAGACCTCTCGTAGTTTAAGTATCTCAATTTATTATAAGCATACCATGATGATATTTTCAAGTGAACTAATTTTTTTTTTTTTTTATCAATTAACTAGATTATTATACATGAGAGATAGTCTAGTAATTTTTATAGTGTTGTCATCATATCAAAGCTCAAAAGAAAATTAGAGAAAATAATAAAACAGTAAAATTATTTATTAGATACAAATCATTTCACTTTGTAGATTACTATAAATTATAATGCTTTAATTTAAGATCATTAATTATAACAAGTTAAGAACCCAAATGAAATTGCAAAGTACGCGCGCAATCTCAGTTGATAGCATGGACCAAATCTCGGTCAGGATTAGGACCCTAACAATGATTAAGAGGTTTTAGTGATACAAAACTTTATCTAGGAAAATTTTAAAAATAAAAATAATTTACTAAAGTTTATGTAACTTAGAAAAAGGACGAAAAAAATACCATGTGGTCCATTTGAGAATCGTCAGCAACAGAACAGAAAGTGAGCATAGGATGAGACGAACTGACGAAGATAATAAAGGGCTACGTACGAAGCACATAATCTTTGTTTCTCAAGATGGATAAACTACGTGGAAAGCCAATTTATTTGTTCGACACAATAAAAAAAAATCCAGAAAGCTGATCGGACGGTAGAGATTAAACACTTGAGAAATTCCTCGAGATTAACAGCTTCACGATAAGAAAAAACAAAAACAAAAACAAACAAAAGTTGGGCTTCAGAACCAGAGTGACAGATTTGGTTAACGGTCGTTAAAATCGGCTGCGAACACATGCTTCTGGTGTCAGTTAATTTCACATTTTTGTATCAATTTGCTCCTTTACGCCTCCACACGCTATTGGTTATTATTAACTCGTTATTACGTAAATATAGTAATATACTAACATGCATACAAACATGCATGAGGATTGGGAAAGTGGTTGTCTGATTTGCATATTACGATATTCGTGAATCGTGACACTGGTTTTGGCGTTTAAAGTTCTGCTATCGTCGATATTTATTACTAGATTTTGTTTTTTGGTCGGTAACTACTAAATTTAATTAAGTTTTAAACGTTTATATATATATATTGATACGTAAATTACGCATTTGTGATGTATACATGTGAACCAACCCGTTCTTACGTGTTCCTATACCAACCATGCGTACTCGGCTTTACTGTGTGTGTGTGTGTGTGTGTGTGTGTGTGTCATTAATCATATATGGGCATACCGATCTACGTATTAATTAAATGAAGCATATGGAGGTGAACAATTAATTTGTAGACATATATAGAATATGAATGGCAAGTGACATAAGTACTGCTTTTCCATATAACCAATGGCAATATGTGTTCAAAAAATTGCTAGACACCAATCGGACATATGTAGAATATGAATGGTGCAATTAAACAGAAACAAAACAACGACAGAGAGAAAGAGAAGCGAAAATAGAATTGGAGACGCGTAGTAGAGAAAACGGTGAGAGACAAAAGGCAGGCATGTGCATGCATTGGCTATTGGTCTCAAGTTTAATGTAAATAGTTATAAACCCTTCGCATCGCTTTCAGTTTTCAACACACCTACACTATACCAAATAACCACTTGATAATATTTGTTTGTCTTCTTTCAAACCCGCGACTAGTTTCTTATGTTAAGATTTCGAGTATCTCCTATGATTGCTATAGCTATTTGCTAACCTTTGATTTCCTTTGTTTACATGCATGCTAGATATTGTACGTTTAATGCATTGTTAATTTTAATCCGTATTATTAATAAACAACATGCAATTACATTTGTTCCAATTTTAAATGGTTAATGGGAGTGAAAGTACGTAACTAGCTTAATAAGTCGACTATGTAATGATCATATAAAATATATTTGGACAGAAGTGAGTAATGAAGAAGATCAATGATTGTTTAGCATTAATCTAACCATTTGTAGATACTATACTAGTGTTAAGATAATAACAATTGAAACTTGAAGGGATCAAAATTGTCTTATTTAGCTCTTTGATCATAATTAAAACGTTAGCCAAAACGGGTTTTAAGGTCCACATGAGGCATAAACATATCTATGTTTTCGTCCTCTCAATTAAATTTTGTTATTTTCTATCATTTTTAATCTAATTCGTATATTTTGTTTGTCTTTTGGAAAAAAAAATAAAACAAGTTACGTAAGCGACTTTTTGTTGTTTTTTTATTACAAGTATTGTTTTTTCAAATCGTCAAACTGAATTGAAGCCGAGAAAAAAAAGTGAGCAGCGGGGGCCACGTTTTGAGCTGAGATTACGGGAGGTTGGCCATCCAATGCAAATATCTTGACCGTATTAGATTCGATAGTTACAATTACTTTCTGTTTTCAAAAGATTTGTATTTCTGAATCAAATATAAAGGGGTTACATAACAAAACATAGGTTGAGATACAGAGATTAGGAACTTAGGAACAGAGTTATAGGTTCATGATACGTCTAACTCAAAACAGACCATCATGACCCACTTAGATTTCTGCTTGATTTTTCTGTCACTTTCTTAACTGTTTTATCACCCTATTACCAAATACCGAATACATAACCAACCCAACACATAAATAAAATGTATAGAAACACTACACATTATATTTTTTTATCTAAAGTAATAAATCATTCTCTTTTTTTTTTTTTTTTTTTTTCTTTTGAACTGAATGTAAAATTAATTCAAACCCAAAAAACATCGTTTTGTACAACATGTGCAACATAAAGATTGAATTTTCGAGGTATAAAGATTTAACTAATCAACTTCTTGCTTCAAACCAAAGTTGGAGGGCTTCTTCATACGTTGTATCTCCCAAAGACCTTATTGAAGAGATACGGTTTCGGACATGCTTATCGAGTAGTCGGATGAGCTGGAGTGAGGAGATCGGCTGCTCTAATTATAGAAATCATTCTCTAATTATAGGAATCAAGTAATTTTACAATAGAGGTGGCAGTCTTATGATTACGTGGTTAAGTAGGATGTAGAATTTAAATGAAGAAAACATGAAAAATTATCTCACTCAACACATAACTAAAAAAGCAACGAGAGGCTATGAAGACGCGACCCGTTTTATAGCACACATGTGCATTTGTCTCTTTGCTTTTTCGGTTTTTCTTTCCAATATTAATGATGTAAATGCTTTATCGGTTTTTCTTTGTCCCAACCAAAAAAAAAACCTACAACCAAATTAAAAATTGTAAAATATTACAATATTGGGTGACAAAAATGTTTGTTGAAGCTAAAAGAGCGTTTTAACTTTCAATGATCTTGCCCTTTTGGAAGAAGTCCAAGTTAGTTGCCACAATCAGTGGCAGAACCGTAAATTAGTACTAACTTCCTCTCGCTAAAGTTTTCTATAAATTCAACCACTCGCATCCCAAGACTCATCAACACATTCCCACATTTCTCTTTCTCTTCGCTTCTCTTGAAGGAAAGAACAAGAAAGATCATTTCCACGTCACAAGTATCTACTTTCTCTATATACATTCAATTGCAAAGCTCCCTTGCTTTCTCTAATACACATTCATTCAACTTTTATCACTCCATGTGCAGGTTAACACAAGAAGTAAACATGGGTCCTGTTGGGTGCTTATTTATGGTTTTGATAGGAGTAATGTCTTCATCTGTGAGTGGTTACGGTGGCGGTTGGATCAACGCTCACGCCACGTTCTACGGTGGTGGCGATGCTTCCGGCACAATGGGTAAATCTTTATTTACACAAAACCATTTCTTACCTATTAATCTATTATCAAGATTTAATTTACTGAACGTAAATTTTACTTCCTATAGGTGGTGCTTGTGGATACGGCAATCTATATAGCCAAGGCTACGGGACCAACACGGCGGCTTTGAGCACGGCTCTGTTCAACAGCGGACTTAGCTGCGGTTCTTGCTTTGAGATAAGATGCGAGAACGATGGTAAATGGTGTCTCCCTGGCTCAATCGTTGTAACCGCTACAAACTTTTGCCCGCCAAACAATGCCTTGCCTAACAACAATGGCGGTTGGTGTAATCCTCCTCTTCAACACTTTGATCTTGCTCAGCCTGTTTTTCAACGCATTGCTCAATACAGAGCTGGAATCGTCCCTGTTTCTTACAGAAGGTAAAAAAAAATTCAGCTTCTCTGTTTTGAAGTTATCTTCATTTGCTTTGTTCTCTCCTAAATCAGAGTAAATCGTAACTTTTCATTTTTTTTTTTCAGAGAAAATAATAATTCACAACTATTTTCTTGAAACCATTGCTTAAAATGAAGGGGAAATGAACCAACTCAATTGAACTTCGTAATTTAAGAATATTTTTTTTCATATCTCATTATTTATATCGAATTCAAATTTCTTGCATGCTAAATTGGTAATTAACCTCTGTTTTTTTTTTCGTGTATTATAAGTTAAGAATGTTCTTGGTGTTTTGTAGGGTTCCGTGCAGGAGAAGAGGAGGAATACGATTCACGATAAACGGCCACTCATACTTCAACCTTGTCCTGATCACTAACGTCGGCGGCGCCGGAGACGTTCACTCAGCGGCGGTCAAGGGTTCAAGAACAGGTTGGCAAGCGATGTCAAGGAACTGGGGGCAGAATTGGCAAAGCAACTCTTACCTTAACGGTCAAGCACTTTCCTTCAAAGTCACAACCAGCGACGGCCGCACCGTCGTCTCCTACAACGCAGCTCCTTCCGGCTGGTCTTTTGGTCAGACCTTCGCCGGAGGACAGTTCCGTTAAGAGGGGCAATTTGGTCATTCTCTTCTCGATTTATCCCATTAAAGTAAACTCATTTGTGTGGTGTGTAGAGGGCAAATTGGTAAGTTGGGTTCTTGCGAACTCGGTTATGACTTATGAGAGAGAGTGATGCGTCGAGGGCTCGGTTTTGCAGAAGTCTTTGATGATGTCTTATCTTTTTTGGACCTCCATATATTTTCATTCTTATACCTAGATTTTATTAAGAGAGATTTATTTTTTAATATATTTATAGAAGGTAATGTATTACTTACTGATGCAGAGGTGGAGTTTTAACTACCACCCGCTAGTAGTAATGAGTATTATATACAGTAAGTGAGGTTGTTTGATTCTTATTATTATCCCATTTTACTCTTAAGTCGTGTGAAATGGCTGATTATGAGTGTATGCCAATTGTATTTCTGTGAGGTTGTATGCTTTGAGATGAAAAGAAAATCATCATGTATGTTTGTAATAAATAATAAGACCGCACTTTACTTAACTCACGAAAAAAAAAAGTTGTTATAAATAATGTCAGAACTAACATACCAAATTTACAACCCGTGAATGAACTCATTCTCGACTATTTTGTGAACTTTATTATCTGTATTTTCATGAGATCCCTCTGCATGACCAGCTTACTTTAGCTTGTGAATTCAAAATGGTTTATACAACCGACGTTCACAAATTACAGTCTCAACTATCAACTCACGAGTCAGAGCATTGGCCCACTCCATTTCTTGAAATCAAACAAAGACACAATATCAACTTGGGCCAAAGCCCGTTTAGAAGAAGACACAACAAATACATCGAACTGCTTTCTCTTACATTTGTCACCCTAATAGTCAAAATAAGTACACCCTCGCACGTGCACATCACCTTTTTCATCTTACTGCTTCCTTTCTGTTTTACATAGTTTTTTACTATCTTATTCACTCTCTTCCAAAAATTCAGGTTGTGTTTGAACTTTGAAGTCAGCCAGTACAAATTTGCATATGAATTCTTTAGTTAAGAAAAAGATTTAGGTTTTTAGATATACACAAGGGCGGATGTAGGTAGAGAGGAAGGGGGTCAGCTGACCCCTACTACTTTTATAAATATTTATTTTCACCTATATTTGTAATATATTTAATGGCTAATTTGATTTAAATATTGTTAAATGACCCCCTTATCTCAAGTTCAAATCTTCTCATATGATCCCCTTATGCCATTTTTTAATATATGACACTGGTGTAAAATAATTCTAGCTCCGCCCCTGAATATACATACGGTTTGTACTGCCAGTCTATACCATGTACAAAGTGTAAATCTCATATTTTTGAAAGAACTTTTTTAGTAGTATTTGTATTTTGTATCAAGGATATATACGTATAGTTTCTCATTATTAACTTATTTAACTAAGGAAACGCTATAGACTTTTAGGAAATAACTTTGTAACCGACAAACACAAAAAAAGCGCACAGTTGAAGTGATGAATCAATATAGATCAAGAGGTTAAATGGTTGGAATGGTGATATCTATATTTCCTCAAGAGAGGAGTTATTACGAGGTGTATGCCATGAACAGTTGTGAATAGTTCGTTTAAATGTGCAGCTTCCCAATACAGTTAACGTACCATTTAAAAAAAAAAACACAAAATTGTTTATAATTGGCTTGGTATGACATGAGGTCACGAACAGTGTGCACCATAAGCTAATAGTTTTGTGATTGTTTTTTTCTTTCTTTATCCAAAAAAGTTAATAGTGTTGTGAAAACAATGAAAACTTCCTGAAGGGATGAATGTCTCAGACTTGTACGTCAAAATCATTGCTCTTGCATTTTTGTGTATAATACGTCAAAAAAAATGCTGAGAGTTTGTTTTCAAATTTTGTGAATCGAATATTCACAATGTTAAGTCCACGTCTCGAGTATGAATATCCAAGATTCGCATTAACGCTTTTATTTTTTAAATATTGTTCTTTTTTTTCATGGGTATTGCCAATTTGACGGAGATGATCAATTAAACCCTGTCAATAATAACAGTTTACCAAACCCGTCACATCCAGTCGCTTTTACCACTTGGACAAATCTGAGTCTGACTTTGACTTTTAATTTTTGAAACATTACTTCTGTCTTGTTTATTTATATCTACTTAAATAGGTTATTTAGGTCCATCATGAGCTTTGGTGCATTTAATTATTAGATCTTTGCGAAAAAGGGCATTGAATTAGTCTTGATTCCTTGACTAAGATCTGATGGGATTTACTGTTGGAAACTCTAATGTCATAGATGCTGTAGCATCACCTGTCCTTCAAATACTGAATCATCCATACCTTCTGGATCCATCAGAGGGTCAGGTTAGCTATAATAACTAGACCTCTCCTTGCCTATTATTACCTCTCGATTTGGATCTGCCAATTTCGCTGCTGAGGCTCAGCTTGCTTATTGAGAGTGTTATACTTGCTGAGCTGTAACACATATTCACCATTATTCTCTCTCCGCAACTGTTGTTTTGTCTCCATTTCTGTCACTTTTTTTTAGGTTCTTACTTAAAGTGACCTCTTCCAATTGCTTTGTTTCTTATTTTGGTTTTAGAGTAAACATCCCTTACGTCCGTTTGTTATGGAGGTGGGCCAATATGTTTTAGGGGAAAATGCATACGGCAAGCTTCATCTTAAAATGTATATTGGTTACAAAAGAAATTTATAGAGTAAATGATCTTGAAAAATTAAAAGACTAACAAGAACTCAAACGCACCACCACTTGAGAACAAATTCACCAACCAAACTAAAATATCTTCAAAGAATCTTCTTCGCGTATATGCATGTACGAAAGTAACTAACGGATGGGTACTTTTATTTGTTGTTTAGATTGGTATGGACGTTGAATCATTTATTATTATAGACATATGATAATGTGAGCGTTAGCCAAGTCGTGTTAGATTAGATTATGTTTCCTTTCATTGAACAGATGAAAGAAGGGAGCATTAAAGCATGTGAGGGTGGGGCAGGTAAGTGTCCTTCAAACACTAAGAAGTGGGTCTTTGCATTAGGATTCTGACATTTTACCCATACTTACACCCATATTAACTTTCCAAAGATTTAACAAATATTATCGTGCAAAGAGTACTTTTTGTCCTTTCTTAATTTGTTAATTGCGACATTTTTAACGAACTTCGGTTAAGAGACAGCCTGAACCACCCATACGCTATCACCAATTGAACATCAATATTATGTTTGTATACACGAAATGACGAAACTATGAAATTAAAGATCAGACTCATACATATTTTATTTACTTATGTTTGTAAGCCGTTTGTGATTTGCTCACTTAGGAATCATTATGTATGTAAAAAAAAGAAAGCTTAATTCTATACTATAATGTTCAACGGTAGTAATTTATATTGTTCATAATTCTAGTATGAAGTAGGACATGAAATGGCATTGGTGAATATTGTCCTCAACAAATTGTGCTTGAAGTGAAAACATGGTGGTGGGTTGGAAAACAACATTTGTCATGCAATTGAAACTGTAATCATGGATCAAGTTCAAGACAAATTTAGACGAACCCATGGGTTGGATGTCGTATTTAATTGGTAGGGTTATGAGTTTTAGAGCTACCAAAGGATTCAAAATATGGCTCTGTCAAGGGGACACACCTAACAGAATCTCATGGATTAGCCTTTGTCTTCTCCTGCTCCCTTACGCCCCACTACTTGTCATATTCCTTCGTTTTAATAAAAAAATATTATAAATTAATATTTCTTATTTAATATCAAAATCAATTCTTTCTTCATTATTGTCCTTCCATATAATTTTATATATACACACACAGAACATTTTCGTACCAAGTTCAACAGGCCCTTATTTTGTAGCCATGATCTCAGGTCGTACCTCACCTTCATATAAAATTGTTTAAATCTGACTGTTGACCAGAGTAATAAATATTATCCACCGTTATGTTTTTGTAAACTTATAAGATATTTAACGTTACACACATGAAATTTTAAATACAACTCATAGGTCCGATATATCATATATACACAAATACCCTAAAAATACTAAATGATATCCTCAAAATGATTAGTTGAAGGGACCGGTTACGTTAAGAGTTTTTGGAGAACTTAGTCCGGTTATGGAAACAAAGAAGTAGTGTGATTGTAACCAAAAATACCAATGAGGTTAAGAAAGGTGGTAGTATTTAAGACAAACTTTATTGATGGATGTGAAAATAGGTTGGTATAGAGAGATCGTAGGGGCGAAGAGGCTACGAGATTAGATGGGTCATTGATTCATTCATCTTTGAAAATTGAGAGGGATAGACTTTACTGTTTGGTTACCTTTCACGTCATCTCTTTTTGGAAACTCCAAAAACAGTATGAGTTTGTGTGTGTCTTCGTGATCTGTTCCCACCATTTATCCTCTCTGTCTCTCCACTTCCTTTCATTACTCTCACTTTCTTTCACTTTCTTGTTCATTTCTGTTTCCTCATTAGTTTGTCTTCTTTTTAATCACCAAATCAACACCATCTTGCATTTACTACTACAAAAATCTCTCTATATACCCAAACCAATCTGGACCTAATTAAACCGAACTGATCCTCATCTATTTCTTACATAACTGTGAGTTCTTAAACAAAACAAACAACTACAGCTTGAATTTGAGCTTAACTATTGAAGAAAAATATTTGTATGTATTTATTTTCAGTTATCCTAATTTATTTTATAATTTTGGTTATAAGTAACAGCATTTACATTCATGAACAATAAAAGAGTATTAAAAAATTGAATAAATATCTTCAAACTTAAATAATGGATACTAAAAATAAGTTTAATAAATTTGAAATAAGTAATTGATTAGTGCAGTTGACTTAATTGTTTGAATTTTCAAGCTAATTATTTATGAATAAACCAAGTGTTTAGGATTGTTCCATAGATTTATATGTGATCGTGCGTGTGTGTTGTACAATAAGGAAATTGCACGTGATATTTGTGCGACATCACACGCCAAAATCGGGCCATGGGGACGCATCACAGTTGAAGAGAAAAGACTTCTCCTTTGAGTTGAATTGGATCCTATGTTACTCTTACTGTGCACGTGTTCTTCATCTCCACCTTTCAATAGCCATGACCAATATATATTGTAGGCTAAAGCTATAACCAATACATCCTCTTTGAATTGAAACGGATTTTATTTTTGTTAGAACAAATTACAATATGCTATTTTAATTGCATTGGCTACTATAATTTGAATTCAGTTGTGTTGTGTACCATTGACACTTGATGCTTTTCGATGACGTATTACACTACAGGTTACAAGATTTTGTAAATATTGTTGTAGACATGTACAAAATATTTAGAAGAAACACTCTTACAAATCCTTCTTTTGTCCTCCAAGTTAGTGAGTACTAGACATAATCAAGCGGCAACATCAAAATCCTTCTTTAACCCTCCGAGTTATAATAACTTATTTTATAAACAAAAAAATCATTTTTTTTTTACTTATGAAGGATTAGATATACATTTCAGATTTGACATGGTTATTAAGAAATCCATAGATGTTAAAACAAATTAATTTTAAAATAATTTAATAAATGACACGAATGGATCAAAATATAGCTAGTACTAGATTACTAACAAAGTAACAAAGATGGATTCGCACAAAACAAAAGAAGAAGCAACTCCGGAAGTCCCCACTCTCTCGCTAGTGGCTCGTGTCAGTTGGATTCTTAAGCCTTTTTACAAAACAAAACAAAACATACTAGTGTGGTTCCCCATATTTAAATCTATAAACTTTTACACTCAGAATTTAAGAAAAAAAAACTAGAAAGACAATTTTTTGTGGTGCTGGTTCTGCAAAAACTAAAAATAATTAAACAAAGCTGCATACTTCTGTTTCAGAAAATTAAATATTTCAAAATATATATAGAGTATATAAATATGTATTTCAAAAGATTGACCGATAAATATAAAAAGAATACGTAGTGAGTTCGGTTAATCTCTGCGCAGAGGATCGTACAGCTCTGCGACCCTTTTGAGTCTCTGATATTAGTATTTAATGGTTACGTCTGCCAATTGGGGTTTCTGGTCAAATACGAAAAGGTCTTTAACAGATTATTTATTTACTTTTTACTGTTCATCCTCATGTCTTATCTGTATCTGGGATAATTAGGGTTGGGAACTTGGGAGTGTTTTTTGTTGCTGTTATAGCATAGGGCTGATAGTTTCTATAAAATAGCTTTTTACCTTTTCTTAAAACTCTATAAACAGCTTAAAATTTATGAAAAAGGTAAAAAGTTTCCATTCACTTATCAAGTCTCACAATTTTACCTTTGCTTATTTTAGAACTTAGCCACGTTGGTGCCTTTTTGCAAATGCAATGTTACGGGAGAAGCTCATACCACTGCATTAAAAATCAACGATGTCTAGTTTGTAACTTTGTATACCCTTTTGTCAAAAGAAAAAAACCTTTTTGAAAAATATCCGGAATCTGGTCTATAAAATTCATGAAACTGCTTAAACGAATACAATAGAAAAATATACATGAAAACCAGGATTATTGGTACACATGAAATGAAGAAATGTTTAAGCGATGGATTAGAAATAAATAAATCAAATCGAACAAAAAGATCGAGGGTTTATGAATTACAGAGACGTTTTCACAGGAATAAAAGGTATAGAAAAAGAGAAAGGAATAGAAAGAGAGACAAGTGGAGATTAAGAGAGAAAAAGGTAACGTTTAAGGAAAATGAAAATGAAAAACAAAAGTGTCCGAGAAGTGGTTGTGTTAAGAAGAGACAGACTCATACCCTCAAATATTAAACTCTCTCTTTTGCCTTCATCCTTTTTGGGTAGTTAATTCTGCTTCAGCTTTTTTGTTTCTTCCATCTGATCATTACCTTCTTCTTCTCTTCTCACTTTGTACCTACAACACATGCATTAGAGGATTTAATTCACTTAATGACGTATGATTCGTTTGGATTTCGTCCAAGTTATTTACCACATATATCAAAAGTGATTTAATAAGATTTCTTTCTTTCATAATTTTCTTAGCCTTTGTTGCTCACTGTTAATAATATATATAAACATTTTATTAAATGATTTTCTAACAAACTAAAAACAGTATTCAGACCCCATTAGTGGTTTTTCGTACAACTCTCTTGTAGAAGATGAAGACTTGATCGCATTCAGACCCCATTAGTTGAACGGAACTAGAAAACAATGATTTACTGAATATTTCACTTCTTATTGAATAAGTAAAACACAATGTACAAGAGTGCTTTATATAAGCTTTACAAGAAGGATCTCGAACAATGCTAAGATAACGGATCTAATCTCTAATCTTATCTCTTCAATACAGCTGTCATTAGCTCACTCTATATTAGCTGAAACCAAGGATTCAAATCTGTTAAAGGTGAGCATCTTTTCTTCCTCTACGATTTTCTCTTTTGCAGGTTTTGTCCTTTTCTCCTTCACAGCTGAATGGGCTTGGACACTTTCTTGGGCCTTGACACACTCACTCTCAGCCCCCCTCAAACTTAGTGTGGGTGATTCAGCTACACCAAGTTTGCTTCTCAACTCCTTGAATGACTTCTTTGGCAAGGACTTGGTGAATATATCGGCGAGTTGCTGTGTAGCCGGAACATGTTGAGTCTCGATCAACCCCAGAGCCACTTGTTCCCGAACGTAGTGATAATCAGTGTCAAAGTGCTTAGATCGGTTGTGGAGTGCGGGATTAGTACTGAGATACACTGCCGACTTATTATCGCATTTCAACACCGTAGCTTCCTTCTGTTCAACACCAAGATCTCTTAGAAGAAATGACAACCACGTGATCTCCTGGGCAGCAGCTGTTAAGGCTCTGTATTCTGCTTCAGTGGATGACTTTGAGACTGTTTGTTGACGTTTTGCGGACCAAGAAATCAAGTTGGAACCCAACATTGTACAAAAACCTGAAGTTGATCTTCTTGTGTCCTTACAACCAGCGTAATCACTGTCGCAGTAAGCATGCAGCACCATTTTCTTGTCTTTCTTGATGTGGAGACCCATGTTTATTGTACCCTTGATGTACCTCAGGATGCGTTTCAAGAGATTGAAGTCGGAGACAGTTGGTGAATGCATCCTTTGGCAAACAAAGTTCACTGCAAACTGAATGTCTGGGCGTGTGATGGTGAGATACTGTAATTTACCAGCAAGACTCCGGAAGTACGTTGGTTCTGAGAACGGCTCTGAGTTCAGATCATCCAATTGCAGAGGCAGCGGTGTAGGCATTGAGTTACAGTCTGACATGGAAGCATGATGGAGAATCTCTTTAGCATACGCTGTTTGATGTAAGAACATCCCACCATTATAAGACTCTATCTCCACACCAAGGAAGTAATGAGGTCTTCCGAGGTCTTTCATTGAAAAAGGTTTGTTGAGACACGTGAGCAGATCTTGTAACAGGGCTTGATCACTGCCTGTTAGCAACATGTCGTCAACGTACATGAGAAGAACCATTGATTTCCCATTACGATAGTAGGTAAACAGAGACGGGTCTGATTTGCTGCAAGTGAACCCATAATCGATTATGTAGTTGCTGAATGTATCAAACCATGCCCTAGGTGCTTGTTTAAGGCCATATAGGGCTTTGGTGAGCTTGCAGACATAATCTGGTCTCTCTGGATCTTCAAATCCTGCTGGTTGAAACATATAGACTGGCTCCTTTAACTCACCATGTAGGAAAGCATTTGACACATCCAACTGTTTTATCGGCCAATCTCTCGCAATAGCAACATCTAAGATCATCCTGATCGTTGCCGTGCGTACCACTGGACTGAATGTCTCAAGATAATCCAACCCTTCTTCCTGCTCAAACCCTTTAGCAACTAGACGAGCTTTCAACTTGTTTAGCTCTCCATTTGGTTTCATCTTCGGCGTAAACACCCACTTACTGCTCAAAACATTCATATCTTCTGTTCTCGGAACCAACGACCACGTGTGTAACATATGAATTCTCCCCATTTCATCCATTACTGCCACATTCCACCCTGGATGTTTCATTGCCTCAGCTATAGACTTTGGTGTTGCAGGAGTGAATTTATTAGCAAGAAGTATATAGCGAGTGTTTGGCTTGATTATTCCAGCTTTTGCTCTAGTCACCATTGGATGCTGGTTTTCTACTGGAGCGGCATCTACGGATTCTGTGTCGGATGGAGCTTCATTAATAGGCTCAGGAGTCGGATGATCTTCCACAGTAGGTTCCTGAGTCAGTTGCCTTGATGGTACAGGCAAAGCTCGTGAGATTTGAGTCTCAGTCCTCTGTTCTTCTGTTGCTTGACTTGTTGACAGTTGCCAAGCACTTAACAGTTTGCTGTGATAGCGAGGCACCAAGGATTCATACTGAGCCTTGAACGGAAAGCACTCTTCGTCGAACACAACATGCCTGCAGATATAAGTCTTCCCAGTTGGTGGATATAGACAGCGATATCCTTTGTGTTGTGAGCTATAACCGATAAAGACACATTGGAGTGATCTCGGTTCGAGTTTGTGATCGGCCAAGGGACGTAGATACGGGTAACAAGCCGAGCCAAAGACCCTCAACATTGAGTATTCTGGTTTCTTCCCGAACAAGACCTCAAATGGACTACAATTCTCCAACACGTCCATAGGTAGTAGATTGCAGATGAAATTTGCTGAGAAGAATGCTTCTACCCAATAACTCAGAGGCGTGTTACTATGAAAGAGCATAGACAACCCAAGCTCCACTAAATGTCGATGCTTCCTCTCAGCCAAACCGTTTTGTTGAGGTGTATAAGGACATGAGACTAAGTGTTTTATACCACACTCAACAAAATGCGATTGCAGCCGTTTGTTTATGAATTCTCCTCCACCATCACTTTGAAAAACTTTGATCTTTGTACTAAATTGTGTTTCAACCAGCTTTTGAAATGCAGTGAAAACGGAATAGAACTCTGATTTAGCACGCAACGGATAAAACCACGAGAACCTTGAGTAATCATCGATAAACACTGCATAGTACTTAAATTCCAAAGTGGATACAATAGGCGAGGGTCCCCATAGATCACAGTGAACACGATCTAAGGGTCCTAGAACACGAGAGGAGGAAGAAATAAACTGCAATCTACTACTTTTCCCCATTTGGCAAGGCTCACAAATGGAGTTTTGTCTGCTCTTATTTATAACTATTTCCTTGCTGATTTGAAGCTGTTGAAGAACCTTGAAGTTAGTGTGGCCCAACCGATGATGCCAAGTGTCCTCTGAAGCTGCACACTGGCGATTTGAATACAGCGCCACCAACTCTTGATTCTTCAACGTATATAGACCTTTAACTCGAGGCCCCTTTGCTACCACTTTCTGAGCACCAATATCAACCACACAGACCTTATTAGCATCAAACCACACTCCACACGGATGATCATCACACAATTTAGACACAGACAGTAAGGACTTTTGTATTTCCGGACATACTAAAACATCTTTCAGAGTGATAGTACCTGTAGTGGAAGCAATATTGGCAGAGCCAACATGAGTGATTGGGAGGAACGCTCCATCAGCTACCATGATCGTATCGTTACCGTCATACTGAGTTGAGGTCTGAAGGTTGTCCCTGGTAGCAGTGATGTGAGCCGTTGCGCCTGAGTCCGGATACCACTCTTTCCCTGTCGCATCAGCAGTTTGCAGAGCAGTGAATGCTTGTGGTGTCTCATGAGCTTGGTAATCATCATAACGATTGTAGCATTTCGCCGCTATGTGACCAACACGACCACAAATCTGACACACCGGGCGCTCTCCATTGTTGTTCTGTGTTGTCTGATGCTGAGGAAACCCCCTACCACGAGAGGAGTAACCACCACGACCTCTGTTCTGACCATAACGACCACGACCTCTGTTATTTGGGTTGTAGCTTGGCACCGCTGGCTTAAAGGAAGCGTTTTGGTTCGCGTTTTGAGCATTGAAGACAAGAGGTGTGTTACTGGAGTCTTCCACTTCATAAGACTGAAGCTTGCAGTCATATGCTTGGATCTCCGAGACGACATCGTTGAAAGACGGCGGATTTGGCTTCGACAAATCTCTTTGGATCCCTGTGGAGACTGGATCATATTCCCTGCCTAAGCCATTCAGAAACCCGAATAGCTTCATTGACTCGTCCACCGGTTTTCCAATCGAGGCAAGAGCATCGCAGATCGTTTTGAGCTCTCTGCAATACTCCGTCAAGGTCTTCCCTTTCTTGGTCAGGAACTGAAGGTTACGTCGGAGAGCAAACTCACGAGCCAGAGAACTCTGGTTAAAGTTTTCAGCGAGACCAAGCCACACCTCTCGGGACGTTGAGAGGCTGTGAACCACACCGAGAACTTCCTCGGACAGAGTACCAAACAACCACGAGCGGACGAGTTGATCCGTACAGAACCAGGCTTCGTACAATGGATTAGGTTCAATGGTGGGGACACCACCAACAACGACAGTGTGAGACGCCGGAGGAGCTGCTATCGTGCCATTAATGAAGCCGCTAAGCTTCTGACTTGAGAGCAAGGACTCAAACTGGGTCTTCCAAAGGAGGTAGTTGGAGTCCGTGAGCTTGAGGGTAACCGAGCTCACGACGTGAACGTTACTGGGAAACGGATACGGAGAAACGGGATCAGCCATAGCGCCTGTTAGAGCATGAATGGCTCTGCTACCATGAACGGAACTAGAAAACAATGATTTACTGAATATTTCACTTCTTATTGAATAAGTAAAACACAATGTACAAGAGTGCTTTATATAAGCTTTACAAGAAGGATCTCGAACAATGCTAAGATAACGGATCTAATCTCTAGTCTTATCTCTTCAATACAGCTGTCATTAGCTCACTCTATATTAGCTGAAACCAAGGATTCAAATCTGTTAAAGGTGAGCATCTTTTCTTCCTCTACGATTTTCTCTTTTGCAGGTTTTGTCCTTTTCTCCTTCACAGCTGAATGGGCTTGGACACTTTCTTGGGCCTTGACACACTCACTCTCATTAGTGACGGTCTTTTGTTGAATTGCGGTTATAGACAAACAAATAACCAACAGCAGAAAGAGTGCTTAAGAACATATAAATTACAATTACATCTTAATTATTATCAGTCTATTGACATGAAGAATAACTAATTATTTACGAATCTCAACTAGAGTGTGAAATTAACAAAAAGATTGATTATTAAAACTTGTAAACTTCTATGAAAATAGGTACACCTGAACAAATTTTTATAACAGTCCACAGGAAAATCGAATATCGATAATGCATATGCACTGACTTAATACAGTGGTACTATATAAAAATAATAATAATGCATATATGCAAATAACTATGGCGTTTGAATCAGTCCGTGACAACAGTCCATAACCCTTTTTAACAGTCGTCAGAAAACACGGTCGCGACATGTACATACACGCACATACCTAAAGCCATACGTAACACACACCATATTATATACAAAAGATATTCTACATATTATTTATATATTTTTCGAAATATTTATGACACACATTTACGTATATATACGCAAATGCACCGCGTAGTCTTTCTCCTCCTCAAAATTGGTAATAGTCTAAAGCTGACGTGACATCTCTCTCTCAAATCTCAATTACACTTCTCTATCTCCTTCTTCCTCTCTCTCACTCAAACAGAAATTCCATGTTTATGTCGGAAAATCAACGGTGGATGGATGAGGTCGCCGCCGCGAGAAGAGGAGCTTCTTCTTGGGACTTCCCTTTCAACGACATTAATAAAAACATTCAGCATCATCGTCACTGCAACACAAGTCACGAATTCGACATCTTGAAGAGTCCACTTGGAGACAACGAAGAAGAAAGTAATAATCACAACCCTAATTATAGTAACAGCGAGAGTGGAAAGAAGGAGACGACAGATAGTGGACAGTCTTGGTCTTCGTCGTCGTCAAAACCATCGATCTTGGGGAGAGGACACTGGAGACCAGCTGAAGATGTTAAACTCAAAGAGCTTGTCGCCATTTACGGTCCACAAAACTGGAACCTCATAGCTGAAAAGCTCCAAGGAAGATCCGGTAATTAAAATCAATTCTTTTTTATAGGGTCTTCAAAATTTAATCAAAACCTATGTGTTTGATCCATCTGGGTCAGTCAAAGATGTGAGCTTTATTAAGATCTGGTAATAAAATCAAATCCTTTTCTTAAAAATAATTCCTTTCTTGGATATTCTGGGTCCAATCTGAGTCATAAAAAAGGAAGTCAAAGATGTGAGCTTTATTAACTTAATTTTAGTTTGTTGGTTAAAAAGGTAAGAGTTGTAGACTACGGTGGTTTAACCAATTGGACCCGAGGATAAACCGAAGAGCTTTCACGGAGGAAGAAGAAGAGAGGCTAATGCAAGCACATAGGCTTTATGGCAACAAATGGGCAATGATTGCGAGGCTTTTCCCTGGTAGGACTGATAACTCTGTCAAGAATCATTGGCATGTTGTCATGGCTCGTAAGTATAGAGAACACTCCTCTTCTTACCGTAGGAGGAAGCTTATGATTAATAACCCACTTAAACCTCACCTCACTAATCCTAACCCTAACCCTAATTACCACTCTTTTATCTCTACAAATCACTACTTCACTCAGCCTTTCCCCGAGTTTAATTTGACTCATCACCTGGTTAATAATGCCCCTATCTCGACTGACCATAACCAGCTTGTGTTGCCTTTCCATTGCTTTCAAGGTAGTGCTCTTCTTCTCTTCCTTTAGTTTGTTCAATTGTTTTAACTTCTTGGTTTTCACATTTTGATTTTGTTTTTATTTTTATTTTGTTTTTGGTGTATTTACAACGTTCAGGTTATGAGAGCAACGAGACACCCATGGTAGTGAGTATGTTTGGTAACCAAATGATGGTCGGCGATAACGTTGGTGCCACATCAGATGCGTTATACAATTTTCCATACATTGATTCCACGAGCCGAGAGAAAGCGGAGGCAAATGTGCCGATGAATTGGATTGGAATGGAAGCGGTAGATGAAGAGGTGGTCTTTAAGGCTAAGCAGCAACCACATTTTTTCGATTTTCTTGGCTTGGGGACGGCGTGAATCTTGAACAAATTGGTGTTAGTTAATCAGTCAATGACATTGATTAATTTGGTTACAATAAAGCAAGAAGTTAGCTTTACTAGCTAGAAAGCAAACAAACCAATATTCCAAGTCCTCGTCGTTGAGTTTGTGTTAATTAGTATATAAACTGTAGATTGGCTGTTGTTGTTGGCGGTCTAGTGTAACAATTGGTAAATTCGTTTTTTTAGTAACTAAAGAGATTTATTAGAGATGAAGAGACGTGATATATGTTAAAGATGTGATGAGAAAAGCAATGAAAGAGAGGTAGAGAAGATATATTAAAAGAGTGTAGATGTAACGAGTTGGAGAAAGAGAAGGAGATGCGTAACTCAGAGATGAGGAAGTGCCAAAGATTGAGGCAGAGATTGTGCAACAGAAAAGGCCAAACATGAAACATGCTAACCAAATCTCACACACACATTGCATTTGTTTCTTCCCTCCAAACCGTTTTTCCAACTCTTCAAGCTTCTTACCTATGTGTCTCTCTCATGTCACGCGGGCCCACACATTGCCACATGCCCCTTTTCTGTTAAAATTTATTTTCCCATATTGTTAACATAAATGTATATTTGAAGTTTTTTTTTTTGGGTTAAAAATAGTTTTGGTTTTGAATATGAGTTTTTGCTAGTTTATGATATCAAAATTAATGTTGATTTTATATCTATTCGTAAAAGACAAGCAGTTATTAAAAATTATGGCTTTGTAAAATGAAAAATTTTAATTCTAATTTTTTTATGCATTCATCATTTCAATTGCAATATTATGATTTAAAGCATGTGAAAATCTGTGGTGTCCAGAAAAAATTTGAAAAAATTTAGATAATTGGTAAGATCTTGCCAATTGATCAGGAGGTGAGGAGGTGATCTTGGCTTTAACAACTGACTAATCCCTTCAAGATGAATGCAACTGTCCAGTAGCACACTCACAATAGCCTAAAACGTATTACCATTTCAACTGTTCAAGCGGAAAATGTTTAAATAATTTAACGCTTAAGAAGAAAATAACCTATTTTTTTTTTCACATTTTTTATTAGGTAGACCACAAACTTTTTCATAATATATACCAAAAGATAAATGTTTTTTGCATCTATAAATCCTTCTCTCCAAACATAATCTCTCAAACCTTTCAGTTAAAACTTATCCTTGGCTGCTTCCTCATCAGTATATTACCATTTACTGTACTCGTCGTGTTAATCTTAATTATTTCACGTTATTCTGAAAACGTCAGGATCATTTGATAATAATTAGTCCACCGATGAACTTTTACCATTCAAACCTAAACATGTGATCGTTATTCGTTAACAAGTTGGGCTCACGTGCAACATTGGTTGTGTATTGTAGAAACAAAGGGATATATTTTAGGGGTAAGAGCATTCCCACCTGAAGGTATTTTCGATTTCAAATTTCGTGTCAATCTCCGTAAACCAAATTATGCGTGGCCCTGAGATCAGGCAACATTTGATATTTTTACAGTAGTTAGAGATGACATAATAAAAAGTAAGCTTGGAATTTGTAGTGACTAGTGAATGTATTTGGTATATTTTTGCTTTAACAAAAAAAAAAGTATTTGGTATATTTTTGAGCGAGCCCTTATCGTACTAAATGCATTGGAGCTTTTCCAAACTGTTTTGAGTGTCTTAAAAGTATATAAACATCATTTTTGTGAGTTTTCTTGATTTATAATAGTAATAAAATAAACAGAATGGATGTTTGAATTTTTATTTGCATATATATATATATATATTAGTTGTTCTTGTGATAATACTTGATTTCTCTGATAACCATGATATTCCAACAACACCTCACCAACATTCAAAACATAATGACGAGGCAACATCGTCACAATGGATAGATAGAATTAGAAATAAATGGCTACATTTTTGTTGCTACATAAAAAAAGAAAAAAAAAATTATGAGACGTTCACTTGGTTAGTTTGATGTCATGAGTGACTAGGTAGAAACTAGAGAGAAACGACAAATGAGACTAGATAAATACGTTGAATGATTCTAATAGAAGGGAGAAAAAAGACATTGAATGAAATGTAGTTTTCATCGTTCCTCTGATGGGAACAATGAAGAAAAGGGAAATGTTTTGATTTTATAAAAGAAGTATTTGCTACGAAAAATAAACAAAAAACACATACCAAAGACTATAAATATGAAAGTTAACACAAAATCAGCACGAATTGTCGTGATCTTCTTCATAACATGTAATTTGTAAACTATGCTTTACCGGCTTGAATCTCCAAATGAATAGATGGTGTCGACAAAAACTAAATGAATATGGCTCGAACCTTGATCGTACCTTTAATATCCTTACACATATTCCAAATTCTGCTTAGCTTAACTTGATCATACATTTATTTTCGTCAAATTCTTACACATATTCCAAATTCTGCTTAGCTTAACTTGATCATACATTTATTTTCGTCAAATTCTCAGTCTCTCAATCTCAAAGTGCCGTCTGGAAAATCCATGGGAGAAGTTGGAACACTAGTAGCTATTTCTGCAATTCGTGCTTGGAAATTAGTAACCAGATCTTAGCTATTATTTGTACTCGTCGATCATAGCTATTTGTGCAACTCATCTTACCTTTAATTTCCTTACATACATTCCAAATTCCGCTTAGCTTAACTTGATCTTACCTTTAATTTTCTCAAATTCCCAGTCACTCAATGACGTCTCGAACATACATGGGAGAAGCTGGAAACAATGTTGATCAGGTAAGATTTTCATATGGCTATTTCTGCAATTTGTGCTTGGAAATTAGTAACTAGATCCTTGCAATTAGTATAATATTGTCCCCTTTGAGTTCATGTATCTTATCCTCCACGGATTTGTTATTGGGCTCCTTCCCAAAAGGTCTCATACTAGTTAGTTGGGACACTACTTATATGTTAGACACTTCTTTGTCTAACTTCTGATGTGAGACTTGGATTAATATCCAACATTTTTTATTTTCTCGTTACACCATATATCCAACATTTTTTATCTTCTCGTTACACCATAAGTCGTTTGAGGTTTATCATTCAGTGTGTCTTTGTTTATCATTCAGTGTGTCTTTGTTTCATAACCAGTCATTAAAAGTTTTGACTGGTTTTGTTGATCAATTTGGATCATCTTTAGGTTGTTGCTGGTCCCCATAACATTGCGCTGGTGATAGAGAGGAAGAGAGAAGAAAAAAGGAGGAAGGAGCTGGTCAAAGAGGCACGAAACCCATCTCTCCCACCAGCAGCTCTCAACGAGATAGCCGTAAAAGCTCAAAAACTGAAAGCTCTCAAGAAGAAAGAGAACAGGCATGCAAGCCACCATGCTAGGAAGAGGCCAGGGGCCAAACCCTAATTGGGTTCTCAATATTTTCAGTTCAGTTGTCTTCTCTTCAGATTGTGATCTCGCTGTATTATCATCATGAAACTTGTTTCAAAAAGGGATAAGGACTAGAAAAACAATATTAAGCAATTTTTAGCATTTTGTTGTGAATTCTGCTGAACTCTTTAAGCGTTAAACAAAGAAGAGCGAATAATTACCAATCTTAGAGACATTGCTGCAGGGTTTACTTGCAGATTGGGATACGTTTCAGGAACAAATATCTTGTTGCTGCTATTTGTTTCAGATCCATTGACGAAAAAGCTGGATTGCTCTGTCTTCTCACGTTTCATCGGCATTGGATACCACATGTGGTTCATCGTAGCTACGCTTGCTACGTCTCTTGTCCTTTTCCCTAGACATGTGGAAGTCTCTAGGGTATACCAAACGGGTACCGTGCAGCCCCAGTACACGGGGATGTGGTAGAAACTAAGGTTAGCAGGGTATTGATAAGGCCAAGGAGGCGAAACAGGGGATGTTTCTTGCGGAGGAAGAAATCCTTGTTTATCTTCACATCGTTTGATTGATGCTTTCCATTCTTCTCAGTAACCACAGATTCCGAAGACTCAAAGCTGAGAATATTTGTTGATGAGTTACTGTAATTATTATATGCATTCTCGGAAGTGATGTAGAGGCAATGGTCTGAAGAAACCCATCGTGGTGATCTCGTTGTGTTGGTCATCGCTGTTCTCAGATGTTTCTTTTGACTCCTTGTTAAGATCAGATGATATTTGAAGACTCGTATTGTCTTGTTCGCGGCTATCAGTAACAGATTCGTTGTTATGGAGGACCAACTAAATTAGTATTAGCATCATGAAATGTGTTTCAAAAATGGATAAAGACTAAAAAAAGAAAATCAAGTTTTTAGCATTTTGTTGTGAATTCAAGCGAATTTGGATAAACTCTGCAACAGACATGCATGATCACTCTACAAGCAGGGATTTTAACACGAAGGCCTCAGTGAGGATTCCCCATTTTCCTATGCTTATTTTCCCTAGAATTTGTTACTCTCTTTTCTGGCAAGGAAACAATATCTAAAGTCCAACTTCTATGTTAAACCTAAACACCTCATTCCTAATGATATTAATAATTTTAAGAAAATTAAAAAAAAAAACCCATATTAGGAGTGGCATGATGGTTTGAGCTTACTTTTGAGAAAAACGTGATTTTCGGTTGCGGCGAAAAAATATAATTTTTCGATTTCGGCGGAGAAATGTTAGTTTGGATTTTGCGGAAAACCATAATTCTGCGGTTTATGAGAGAAAATATAATTTTACGGACAATTTTGATTAAAAGAAAAATTATGTATATTTTCCATGTGTAAATATATTTACGAGTTTATGTGTCATTTGCATATTTGGGATGAATCATCTTCATCAAGATGCTCCAAATCTGAATATTAAAATTTTTGCCTACAATTTCATAACTCATTCATATGGATCTTTAGATGTTGTTCATTTTTGTTGTTAAACAAACATTATTCATCGATTTCATCCAGATGGATCATCTGGATGAGCAAACGAACATGCCCCAACTCTATAAGCCTTAAACAAAGAAGAGAGAATAGTTACAAATCTTAGAGACATGCATGCTAACTCTACAAGCAGGGCTTTTAACAGTTCAGTGTTGATGTTTTAGTCATTTTGAATTTAACACATTTCATAGCATTTAAAGAACACTTAAAAACGTATTGTTGTTCAGCTCATAATCATACCATTTGTGGTTGTTGAAGTGAGAGAGAAGAAGAAGAGAAAGAGGAAGACGAAGAAGAATTCTCTTTGCCATCATGGAAAAGAACAGGAAGAACAGGGGACGAAGAAGATGTAATTGTACATCCAAACAGTTTTGCCGAAGTATCTTTAAATTCTGACATGCTAAGCTTTGCAGACAGAATAGAAAATGATTTATGTTTTAACCCATAAATTCTGGGCTAGAGAATAAATGACTGAAGCCCATAAACTTACATAGACATCTCTAAGAAATTTTGAAAAACTCTAGCATATGAAAAAAAGAATGACTACGTAGAGCCGTAGAGGGACTAGAGAGAGGGATTGGAGGAAAACGTAGAATGATTCTAAGGACAGTGAATGAAGTGGAGTTTTCATTGTTTCTCTAATAAAAACAATGAAGAAAAAGGAAAAGTTTTGATATTATTATCAAATAAGTCTTTACTAAGAAGAATAAACATAAAACAAAAAAAAACCCATTTGTTGTGTAACCCCCTTTTATCTTGTAGCTGTTTTTGTTTAATTTTTTACTAATACACTAACTAATTACAATCATACCAAAATTTATCCTCATAATTTTTATTCTTTTATAAAAAAACTGGAATATTTGCAGGAGACTGAAAGTTAGAAAGTTGCCCGCATTCTTGTGGTCCAGTGGTAAGGGGAAGCCTTGGTGAAGGGTGAAACTCCCAGACCCGGGTTCGATCCTCCCTGGGAACAAAATCACATTTGTGTGGAAAGTCTGTCAGTTGGACCTAGACCCAATTGGTTTACCCGGTAATCAGAATTTCATGCGGCCTGATTACCCCCTGACATTAGTCGGAAGGCACTCCAAACTTGGGATAGGCAGTGTGATAGTCCAAAGGATGAGTTCACTTTGCGTTCCTACCGGGGTTAACCGGAAGTCGATAGGATCTATAAAAAAAAAAAAAAAAAAAAAGGTTAGAAAGTATATAGAAGATAGAAACTTAACATATTATTAAACAGTACATCTTCGTTTTCCTTTGGACGCATTTTTTTCCAAAGAACGAGTCTTTATGCTTCTCCTTTATCTTTTCTTCGGTGTCAACTAGTAGATGGATTCAGTAACCAAAGAATGAAAGTTAAGGTGCTTTGCTTTTCTCCTTTACATTAAAAGCCACCCTCATCTTTTCTTTACACTTTTCTATAACTAATTTATACATTATCTTAGAGCCACATTTTTTTTCTCCAAAAAGACATCATAACTTCAGCATATCCATCCGTTAGATAATGAAAAAAATAGTGAATCTGGCATATAAATAAGACAGGTGTTAAAAAGCTATTTAACAGTCCTTTTTTTTATAATTAAAAGTAACATCTCGTTACATACTCTCCCTGAAGTTCATAGATCTTGCCATGGCTGCAGGGTTTGCTTGCAGACTGGGATACACTTCAGGAACAAATATCTTGTTGTTGCTCTTTGTTTCAGATCCATTGACGAAAAAGCTGGATTTCTCTGTCTTCTCACGTTTCATCGGCATTGGATACCACACGTGGTTCATCGTAGCTACGCTTGCTTCGTCTCTTGTCCTTTTCCCTAGACATGTGGAAGTCTCTAGGGTAGACCAAACCGGTACTGTGCAGCCCCAGTAGACGGGGATGTGGTAGAAACTAGGGTTAGGAGGGTATTGATGAGGCCAAGGAGGCAAAACAGGGGATGTTACTTGCGGAGGAAGAAATCCTTGGAAGCTATTGAATTCTTGTGTAACAGAATCAGCGTTTATCTTCACATCGCTTGTTTGATGCTTACCATTCTTCTCAACAACCACAGATTCCGAAGACTCAAAGCTGAGAATCTTTGTTGATGAGTTACTGTAATTGTTATATGCATTCTCGGAAGTGATGTGGAGGTAATTGTCTGAAGCAACCCATCCCTTGTTCTTACGGCGGCCTGAACCAACCGGTACGGTCCTCATAGATCCACCGAAAGTCCAATAGCGTTGGCAGTTTCTGCAGAAGTGACGTGGCTGGTTAACGTTGTAGTTGTTGTAGTAACAGAATTTGGTGTCAGCGCTGTTGCATCTTGGACATGGAAGAATCTTGTCTGGTTTCTTCAGTTCAGTTGTCTTCTCTTCCGATGTAGTAGCTGTTGTGATCTCGCTGTGTTGGTCATCGCTGTTCTCAGATGATATCTGAAGACTTGTATTGTCTTGTTCGCTGTTTTCAGAAACAGATTCGTTGTTCATCTGAAAATTTGGAGGAACAATTATGAGTATTAACATCATGAAACTTGTTTCAAAAAGGGATAAAGACTAGAACAAAAATAATAATAAGTTTTTAGCATTTTGTTGTGAATTCAAGCAAATTTGGATGAACTCTTCGAGCGGTAAACAAAGATGAACGAATAGTTACAAATCCTAAAACATGCATGATTACTCTACAAGCAGGGCTTTTAACGGTGCAATGTTGATGTTTTAGTCATTTTGAACACTTTTCTTAGCATTTAAAGAACATTTGAAAACGTATTGTTATGCAGCTCATAAACATACCATTTGTGGTTGTTGAAGTGAGAGAGAAGAGGACGAGGAAGACGAGGAAAAATTCTCTTTGCCATCGAAAGAAACAGGAAGAACAGGGGAAGAAGAAGATGTAATTGTCCACCCAAACAGTTTTACCGAAGCATCTTTAAATTCTGACATGCTAAGCTTTGCCGAGAGAAAAGAAAATGAAGCAGAAATATAGATTTGATGGTATGTGTGTGATATTCTTTAAGAGAAGATGTGAGACGAGAGTTTATTTATATATGAGAAGTTTGGGGTTGGTATTAATGGATCGAACAGAGCCACACAGAGAGAGAAAGTGGGGGAAGAAGACACATCAGCTGAGAAAGGGACTTGTACAGATGAGAGAACCACATGTTGCTCAAAAAGTGGGCTTTGGTGATCTTTTTTCATAACACGCTCTTTTTGATCTCTCTTTCTGTGCCGCTGAAAAGATTTCCAACCTTTATTTTTTGCCACGTTTGGTTACTCAAAATGCAAAAGATTTTTGAATTTTATTAGAAATACATCAGTGAGAGAAATATATGAGTTTACAAATGCCAGTATACACCCACATGGCAAACAATATATGATTTTTCAAGCCACGTCAGCTGTATATGTGCACCAGCAGAAACATACAGTATACTCCTTTTTTTTTTTCTCGGTATAGTTTCTTTGGCCATTCAAATTATTATTTATCTTACTACAAATGAGTTTACCAAGAACCAATTCTCGGCCGAAATCAATCTCTAGATGGGTGGGCATACAAAATCGACAATTTGTTGCCACGTTTAAAAAACACACTTGGAAAACATGGTTAAGCAATAAAGTGCACATATCACTTGGGAGATTCTTCTCAAAGTGAATACAGCTTAGCAGAGTGTTTGGATGTCTCTTTCCATGTCAATGGATCGTCGTTGTGGACCTGTGGTCATTTATAGACCATGCATATATATTTTATTATACTTTATTTTGTAAAATGGTTTCCATTAGTCATGTGATTAAATTATCAGAAGGTAAATGATTCCTCCTTCCCTCCATTGGCACCTCTTATCTTCCTCTATCTCCTTTTCTTCGTTTGTCTTTCTTTTAGTCACCAAAGAGAGAACGCTTTCTTCTTTGGGAATCACTTGCTTGTGGCGAAGAATCATACCTTTGTAACTAGCCAACCAGCCCTTAACACATGTCCCAAATACAAATTTAAAGAAAGTTAATTAATACCTTCACACGTGAATTTTTTTTAAACCTTTTTCTTCTTGGACCATCTCCAATGTATTACACTATTTTCTCCCTTACTATAGTTTTCTCCCTTATTATAGTGTTCCCTTATAATAGTGTGATGTTTCTCTCCAATGTATTTCTTATTTTTAACACTAAAAAAAGAATATTCTAAGTATATTCTTAATCCAAATTTATTTTAAAAACCTTTTATTTATAAGTTTTACAAATTAGCCCCACTTATTTTATTCTTCAAAAAAACTCTATAAATTAGTATATTATTTAAATAAAACTGTTATTATATAAAGAAATTACATTACTTTATTAAAAATACAAAAAAAACTTTCAATAATTTCTCATTTATATAATTTTCTAAAGTTTTCTATTATTTACTTTGTAATGAATAAAATAGAATTATAATCCAATTGTATAATATAAATCATGTCATCTTCTAAAATAATGTTTTATGATTAATTCTAGTAAAAAATCAAAATAAAAATAAATTTTTATGATTTATTTAAGTTAAAAGTAAAAAAATTAAAGGATCAATATGCAAATAAAAAAGATCAACATCAAAATAAGAGAAGAAATAAGGTTACACTATAAATGAGGGAAAAAATAGTGTTCCCTCATTTTAGTGTCAAAAATAAGGGTGGGTTGGAGATGGTTTCACAATAGGTTTTAAGGGGAGATTTGATGATGGGTTGGAGATGCTCTAAGCACACTCCTTTTTTTTTGGTAATCTTATATATAATAGGAGAGTTGCTCTCTCCTCCTAGGCTATCCACATCAGCAAAAAAATCATTAATTGTATTTAAGATATTTAATATATGTGTATTAATATTTCTTTATATATATTCCTATTTTACACATAAACAAAACTAAGAAAAATACACAAACAATTTAATTGATTAATATAAAGTATGTGATATCTTGATGTTAAAAGTTAAAAGAAAGTTGTAATATAAAATGGAGATGAAATAAAGAAATATTTAACTTGAAATAGTATATAGTTAGGTTTTAACTCAAAGGATTTATCCTATTTAAAAATGTTATAATGTGCTTACAAGTAAAAAATACAATATAAATTATTTAACATAGTAAAAAGCTAATAAAAAAATTAGAGTTAGAGTTTGTTTTATTAAAAAATAGAAGTCGAGTTATTATTTAAATTTCATTGCAACGAAAAGCATGAAAATTTTAAGAATGGTGACATGTTTGTTTCAAAAATACAATTTATATTTACAAAACTAACATAATAGAAAATAATCAATTGTCATATGCTACCACAACAAAGCATATATGTAAGAAGTTATACATGTTTTTGTTTTTCATCATATTTTGAGTGCAATTGCGATTCTACACCATGTTTACAAATTTTAACGTTGAGTCAAATGCATATTAAATTTTAGAAATAGAAAACTCGAGATGAAGTAAGGTGTTAATATCTTAATAAAAAAAATTGATCATATTGTTAGTGTTAATTGTTGGGTTAACTCAAAATATAACCAAAACATGGAAGTTAACATATAACCATCATATATTCAAAATTTCAAATCAATGAATATAAATAAAATCAAACAGAAAAATTATCGCAAACAACCCCGCGCTTGCGCGGGGCTTTAATCCCTAGTATGTTAAATTGCAAACTTCTTTTGTTTGCTAATTATTTTGTCTTCATGTCCCGTATTCAGCTTTAATGATATAATCTAACAAGAAGTAAATATATTATGGCAGTTTCTCTCGTTAGTTTATAACATCTTTTACAAATTATCAAATTGTCATATGCTACCACAACAAAGCATATATGTAAAAATTTATACATGTTTTTGTTTTTCATCATATTTTGAGTGCAATTGCGATTCTATACTATGTTTACAAATTTTAACGTTAAGTCAAATGCATATTAAATTTTAGAAATAGAAAATTCGAGCTGAATTAAGGTGTTAATATCTTAATAAAAGAAAATTGATCATATTGTTAGCGCTAATTGTTGGATTAACTCAAAATATAACCAAAATATGTAAGTTAACATATAACCATCGATCATAATTCAAAATTTTAAATCAATGAATATAAATAAAATCAAACAGAAAAATTATCACAGACAACCGCGTTCGCGCGGAGCTTTAATCCCTAGTATGTTAAATTGCACACTTCTTTTGTTTGCTAATTATTTTGTCTTCATGTCCCGTATTCAGCTTTAATGATATAATCTAACAAGAAGTAAATATATTATGGCAGTTTCTCTCGTTAGTTTATAACATCTTTTACAAATTATCAAATTATATATAAGACAAAAATCATGAATTTGGATGAAAGTTATTCAAATTTGAACATTCATACCAAAAACAATGATTCAAATTTAACTAAAACTAAAGTTGATAAATGGACAAGAAACAGAGTACTAAACGAAAATTTACTATTTAAAAAAAAAAAGATTTGTAAGATCTGGCCATTTTGTTTGATGATTTTTTTTTTTTTTTTTTTTGCTCAAAACCACTCATTCTCCATGTTGCTCTTGTTAGTGGTGTTTGAACGCACAATTAGTGTACACGAAATTAACTCTCCCAGCTGCCTCTCTCCTAAGGAAAGGGCGACAGACAAGCTATCAATAATCATTGAAGAGGATCAACAAGAGAGAAAGAAAAAAAACAAACAATTTTGATCGTTTGTTAAATACTCTATATGTTTGTTTTATATGTCTATGGTGGATGTTTTTCTCTTGATTTTTTTTTTTTTTTTTTTTTTTTTTTTTTTTTTTTTTTTTTTTCAGAGGCGAAGCCTACCTTTGATGTGGATTATGGAGATTCCTGAGCTTACGTTGTTTTTGTTTAGCTTTAGGTGCAGAGGCAAGTGCAGATGAAGATAGAGCGCATAGGAAATATATATATATATATATATATATTTGTTGGTTTTAATGTTAAGAGCATAGGAAATATTTACAATCAATGTTAATGGAAATTCAAGAGAACCCTCTCAGGTTTCACATCTTCGAATGAAGTAGCATCAATGAAGAACAGAAGCTGTCTCAGCTCTTCCTTTTCGGAACCCACGGGAATGAGAAGAGGAGGATCAGGAAGAAGAACATTTCTTGGCGTACAAGACACCAGAAAACAGAGGAGTTAAACAGACGAAAAGGAGATCTAAGAGAGTTCTTGAAAAAAAAACTTAACTTCAAGACATGAACAATGAATTCAAGAAATGAACACAGAGATTACAAGGATTTTAAAAAAAAGATGGAGAGACCAAAAACCCAAGTTTTCACGGGATAAGAAAAAAAGCTCATAACATTCTCTAAAACAACAAAAAATGCACAAGTCTTTACAAAAAAGCTTCTTCTGTAACCCTAATTCTCGGACTCAACAACAGGTCGTGTGCCACTCGATCTTCAAATAGTGTTACCATCACGATCACTGTCTCTGTTTCCAGAAGAATCTCCAGTTCTCCGTCCACCGTCGAACATAACCCAAATCTCTCTCCCATCATTTCTTTTCTTCCCAACCTCATCTCCATCAACAGGCATCTCATACCTACAAACAGGACAAGACCCATGAAGCCCTAACCATTTCTCTATACATCCTCCATGAAACCTATGCTTACACGGCATCTCCTTCACCGTCGTCTCCTCCGGCTTCCATTCCTCCAAACAGATCACACACTCTCCCTCTTCGCAGCCGTCGCCGAGATCAACGACCGGCATCGAATCGATGGAAGCCTTAGACGCCGGAGGATGACCTTCCTCACCTGATCCAATTAAGTCTCGAAACAGAGGATTCAACCCCGATGACTCCTCAAGCACAATCATTCCTTGCGTAAAAGGGTTGACCAGAATTATTCTCTCACGCGAAGAAGCAACATCATCGTCACCATCTGATGATTCTTGGTCAGAGAAGCCTAAGAGGAAAGGCAAGAAGAGATATAAATCTCTGTTCCTTAGAAACCTCCCGGAAACTGAGGAAGTCTCTGTTCCAACTTCACCTTCATGTTCAGTCGCCATCGCAAAGGAAATAGATTGTCTATCAAGGAGATGGCCTTTTAACAATATTAAGAGAGTTGTAAATGAAAGCTGTGGACAGATCTATAACAATATTACGCGGGCATAAACTAAGACAGTGATTGAATGTTTATCCATTAGCAGATATCTATATCATATTTTTTTCTCTTGACTTTTTGCATCATGATTTGTCTAAGTTCTCCTTATACGTGAGAGTATGCTTAAAGAAGGTGAAGGGTCTTTTCGGTATTTTGAGATCAAAATTCGAGGCCATTGCACATATTAATATGCATGGTCAGTGACTCAGTGGATAAAAGGAGCAGAAAATGTTCCACTGGCTTTGGATCTCTACTTGATGTATTGTATAGCACGTGTCATGAAGAATCAGAAAGATTAACACGTAGCACTTGAGAACAGTCAGCAATATCAACGACTTTTGATTAATATGAAAATTTATACATAACTCGTATGACACTATACCCCCCATCGAATAAAGAAATATCAGTTGAAATACTAGACCATCAAGAGATATACACCTAATCTAGTTACATATCTAATCTAGTTATACTAACAAACCAAATCACATGTTTTATGACAAATATATGTAACAGATAAAACCACATTCTTTTTCTGTACTTGTGGTGGACGCAAAGGTGAATCAAAACGTAAGATGAGAAAAGAAAAAAATGTATCACCATTTACGTTTTGAGTTTTACCAATCGCGGCAGCAGAGAGAGCGTTTGGTTTCTTGGTATTTACGCCAGAGGCAAGTCATTTCTGCAGGACTTTGGTAATGAGCAACCACGTAACCATCTTTGCATCCATCACTAATGATTCTTCCATCGTTCTCGTAGTGAGGCTCTACGAGTCCACGTTTCTCCAGATCAGCGATCCATATCCCCATCGCTACATCTTCTAGCTTAAACATCTATTTACAATTTCAAAAATTTCACTATCCGTTTCTACATGAATCCGAAAATGCAATTAAATGGACTTAAACATAAGAGTAGTTACCTTTAGGTTTCCTTCTTTGAAAAGCTTAGCAACCGATTCTGCTATGTCCCGAGACACAATGTAGCCTGGACCATGCGCCCATGGAGGGTATTTCTCTTCTGGCCATTCCTGTTTTTGAGTAGAAAACTCATTAAATGACTCCGCAACCATGGATTTTGCGTACATTGCCTATGTAAGGTTGTGTTGTACCTGATAACTGATGTACCATTTGCTCTCGGGGTTTCGAATAGGTTGAGAGTCGGAATTGATCAGTCCATATATCAACCCGCGAGTGTTGTTGATCATAGACAAAGAAAGCAGCACTTCATCAACACGAACAAAGGCATCATCATCCGTTTTCATGATAAACTTGGCCGAGTCAACCTCTGTCTGTATAAAAGATGTCGTCAGTGAAGCAAATGGTTGAGATTTAGATATGACAAAGGCAAAACATTACCCCAAAGATGCATATAGCTAGTGTTTTCCAACTGATGAGACTGTAGTAATCAACAAAGGGCATTAGCTGAACATCACCGTAAGTCCGAGCCTCATTCCATAGCTCCTGGTTAACTATAGGACTTTTGTGCTGCACACAGAGAAAAATAATTAAGAGAATTACGAAATCTTAATATACAACTTGATGGTTTTGAAAGATGGAGAAAGCTTACGAGGCCAACGAAAAACCGTACTGCAGCTCTTCCAGATCTCACATCATCATATTGCATCCATGTTCTTCTCACAGCCATCCGTCTTTTAAAGTTGTTTGCCGTGGAGAAAACGCCAATAACGAGATCTAGTGGCCTCAACGGTGAAAGAGGAGGCGCTTTCAACGCCTCTAGATCAACAACGTGATCTGATTCTTCTGACGTTGGTAAGCCGCTGGCAAGAATGGATATTAACTTCAAATCACCTGAAATCCGTACTTCACTCACAAGCCACGGCTCTAACGTCTGAACACAAAAGATAAAGCACACATAAGAATCTCAACACTGCAAAGAACAGTTACATATACTAGAAGAAGTGATTGATATTACATCGCGGAAAGCGAATGAGGTTATATGTTTCCCATCAACCGTCATCTGCATTCCTTCTGTTCCCACCCTAAGTGTAGCAACCGATAAGAAACCTTGCTTGAAAGGAAAATATCTTTCACGCTTAGAAGCTTCTTCCTTAGAAGTGTTGGACTGCAAGAAGCTAGTGGAAGAAGAAGTCCGGTTAACTTCTCTACCCACCACCTTGTCACATTGGTCCAAGTCATCAACTTTCTTATTCAAATCAGGATCAAGATTTGGACACCGCTCCTCAGCGCCCCAATCACGAGACGCCGTCCAGCTGTTCTGCACAATGACAGGATCCTCAGTCGACTTATCACCAAGCAGCCTGACATTGTAATGTACAATAATGGGAGGATCAGGCTCCCCTGGAAGAGGTTGTCCTGTTAGATCAATCCGGAAGCTACCAAGAAGACCATCAGGGATGCCAATAACCGTAACGGAGGAGCCTTGAGTTAACCCGCAAGGGATTTTCAACTTCAAGCTACTTCCATCAGCTTCAGTAGCATTCATTTTGCTAAGAAACTGAGGACACAGCTCCTCATTCCCTTTCCTCGTTTGGTTTTCGTTTGCATCAGATAGCTTCTTGGCTTCAACAGCAGACAAGAGGCTCTCCCAAACAATGCCAGCTTCTTTGATAGCATCCACTCCGTTTACCAAGCTCTGGGCGTTATCCACAAGGCTCTCAAGACGGTTCCATGTAAGCAGAGGCTCTTGGGAGACGTTCTGCTCAGCGAAAAGACCCGAGACGGTGGTGATGTCGTCGCCGGAGATCGCTTCTTGAGTGTTCCTCGCTTCGTTCATGAAGTCAGGGAGTGTAATCCAGAGCCATTCGAGAGGGAGAGTGGTGGTGTTGGGAGTGATGACAGAGGCAGTGATGTAAGGCTTCTCTACTGGAGTTTTCAAGTCGACGTATCTGTATACGGTCAAGAACATGAACATTGATGCAACAAGAAGCCCTCCATAGAATCTCTTCATTTTTCTCAGCCAAATATCAAATAGGAGATGTAGCAACTTCAAGGTGAAGCGAGGAAACTGGTGGTGAGATCATTAGGAGCAAAATGTTGCTAATGTTTGTTTAACTTCGACCAATTGGGATATTAACCAGAGCCCTGCAACACGAAATTCAATTTCAAATCATTTCAAGCTCTTAATACAGTTTACGATTCTCTATCAGCATTATATTCACTAGATCCGATCCGCCGAGAAACATGAGAAAGGAGAAAAATGCGGGAAAATTATAAGCCAACATGAAGCTTAACTATCAAAATCCGAGAGAGTTCGAGAAAACAAAAAAAAAATCAGATTTTCCAAGTCGGAATTTTCTTTTGCTTTCTGGGGAAAATTTTCAAACAGACATTCAAGAGATTGTCGGCAATTGGATGCATTTCAGAATCAAGAGTACCCAGAAGTTACTCACTTGATAGAAGAATCACTAGATCAGAGTATAGAACTTACTTAAAAATTAACTCCAATCTGGGTTGGAGGCAATGGGGAAGCAATGTCCGGTCCAGAATCAGAATCCGGTAAACCGGAATGCGGCGAGAGAGTGATAGAGAAAGTTTGTTCGGAGTAAAATTGGTCAGATCTCTGTTTCTCTTTGTCGTATTATCGAAGCATCACCACCTTCCACCAGCAGAGAAAGCGAAGGTGTGCCCTTTGCTTCTTTTTTATTTTTGAATTTGTTTATTCATGTAAAGCAGAAACGGAAAAAATGGAGAAATCTATAAACTGCGAGAAGACACGAAAGTCAAAAAGAAGTTACCGGATAGTGGGTCCCATTTCACCAAGGGAAAACATCGGATTTTTATCATTAATTTTTTTTTTTTTTTTTTTTTGGGTAAAATTTTATCATTAACTATAGTTTTAAAGCAGTTTAAGTATGTATTAATTCGTTTTAATTCTTACTCATTCCATAATAGTTAATGTTTTAGAGTTTTTAAATGGATTAAGAAATAATTAATGTTTAACTTTTAATGTATTACTTTTTCATTTTAAATAACTATTAACCAATAAAAATTATAGAATTCTCTTGAAGTTTGTATTTTTGTGACATTCAAAAAGTATATTTAATACTCTACACATCAACTAACAAAGAACAAAAACAAAATCTAAAACATGAATTATTAAGGAAGAGAGGGAGTATATAGGAACTGGTATTACAAAATTTGAGTATTGTACCTACTAGTAAAAGGGACACAAATAAACAAAAAACGAAAAAGAAATTGGCAACCGAAACTTCAAAGGAAAAACAAGTTCGTAAGTCGTGATAGCGTTTGATGTGAGGGTGTTTTCATTTGGTTGGCCATTTTTTTCTTTTTTAAGTGTTTTTCATTCTTTGATGGTTAGAGAGGAGAAAAAGACAAAAGCCGATTGTCTTTTTTACGTAGGTATTTTGGTTTAATTCACCTATGACTCAAGCAACACTCATGATGACTTCGAAAGCACACACTCTTTGTTATAATTACTCTAGATTAAAATCATGTACCAAGACTAAAAGTTGATGGTCATTGTATGACTACAATTTAAAGACGTACCTTACTTCAAAATATAATTTATTTTTTTAAAAATTATATATGAACACTGAGATTAAATTCCTCATGTAGTACTGTCTATAGAGTCCATGTTAAAAAAAAAAAAAAAAAAAAAAAAAAAAAAAAAAAAAAAAAAAAATCTATTGAAATAATCTGATAGAGATAGACGCATGAATTTGGACCAGTTTTTTTTGGACTACATATATATGAATGAAACTAGACTAGTGAGCTCAAATCTTTAACAAAATAGTTATAACTAAATGAAATCATATGATAGCTTGAATAATTTAAATACATAGATTAGTAGCACTTAGCAATCGTCGGAAGGAAAAGTTCTTCCGTTAAACTTCCATACCAATTCAGTGGGAAATAGAAGCCGAGCTGATGTTAAATCTATCTCCTTTTGTCTCTCTTCGAGATTGCAAGTTGATATGAAGAAGATCTCCACTGTCTTTAAGCATAATGAGTTAGCGAGAATATATGTCAATAGGAGTTTCTCATCTTCTCTTCCTTCATAGTCGATCCACACAAAGATCTCTAGATGAGACAACAAGCATCCGGGAATAGAACTCGGCTCGTTCCAGGAAGTTTGGAGGCACCGGTTGAACTGATATCAGTACATTTCCTTTAATATTAAGTTCATCGAAAAAAAACTAGAAGCCCTTACTTTAAGGGAGGAAGGTACTTACATTCTGGATCGTAAGAGATTTCAATTTACGAGAATTTTGAAGCAAAGATAGAAGTGGTTCCAACCAATCTACTGAACCAGCTGGCCAAAAGAGAAACTCTATGAGCCGAGAGAACTTAATGGCGTTAAAACTAGCAACCTGTGTTAGAAAAGAAAAAACCAACAGTAGTTAACGAAGCAATAAGGAACAAAGCTAGGAGAGGCCCAGGGTTATATAATCTCTACCATTGATTCGGACAAAGACAAGTTTAAATGTAAAACAAAAGAAAGAGATCTGAGCAAATTTTCATCAGGGGTATGAACACAGCTGATGTATGCCTCATTAAGGTAAGCAATGTTCTCTATCAAGCAGTCTTCCCAAACGTCAAATAAGCGCAAAGTTGTTAATGCAGGGGAGTCGATTACCAACGACCAAATTTGATCATCCTCATCCTCATCCTCATACTCATACTCATACTCACCATCACCATCACCATCTTCCCCTTCCTCTTGCTCTTCCTCTTCCTCTTCCTCTTCCTCTTCCTCTTCCTCATCATCATCGGAAAGGCACTGAAGTGGGCTGCTATTTCCTTCTTTTTCTCCTACCTCAAAGATCCTTCACTCACAATTACGACCCTTATTGGGTTGGCTAAAAAGCATCATCATAGCTTAATAAATACTAAAGAGTCTCAAAGTGGTTGTTCTTTTCTATGATGTAATGTATTTGGCTTAGATTCCATTGGCGCCGGTATAATCAGCCTCGGTTCAGAAATATCAACAGCCAAAATTTTGGGATGGAATTGCACATACTTCAGAAGGAGAAAGCTTGGTCGATATGAGTTGTCTGTTCTACTTTATTACAAGGAGATTTCAGCTCGTGTTATATTAGGATAAATACAAGTGTTAGAGAATAAGGATATAGTTTATATTATGATAGAGTTCAATTCCTTGTATTTAGGAATCTAAAGTTATCTAGTGTGGAGACATACTTGTATAAATACCCAAGGTTGGGATTATGAATAAACCAAGTCAATTAAATACCTTATTCTACATGGTATCAGAGCAGTCGATTCTTAGGGATCAAAGTTAAAGCTTCCGCAAAAGAAACTGTGACAAAGATGGTTGTTGGTTGAAGACGATGGAGAAGGTGACAACGATGAAGAAGATGTTGTGTTGAAAAATCTTATACGTTCTTCTTTTATTAAATTTTTAAGTTAGGTTTTGGTTGTGTTCGTGTTCTCTATTAATATGGGGTTCATCTTTTAGGTTTTTTTGGATGAATTATTTTATATTAGATTATGGTTTCTTGGTTTTGTTTACAAGAGTTTACGTGAGTTGTGGAAAATTATTTTGGTTATGGCTTCTCACGGGTTAGTAGTTTTGGTGTAGAATTTGTGAGAGTTATTCACAATTTTTGTTGAGATTAGTTCTATGGTTTTAGATCGTGGCCGGTAATGGCGATAATGATAGTGTGTCCGGTGGTGATGTGTCGAGTTCCAGTGGTGCTCGAAGGAATGAAGTCGCAACGATGTTGCCTTATAATACATGTTGTGTTAGATAGTGGTTTTCCTGGTTTTTCTCCGGTGACTGGTGCGTCGGATGGTGGTCTCCTCCGATGAGTGGTGTATCCGGTGGTGTTGTTCCTCCGGGCGAGTTGTGCAACCGGTGGTGATGTTCTTCCGACAAGTGGTGTGTCGGGTGTTGGTGTAACGGGTGCTAGTGGTGCTCGGTAGTGAAGTTACGGTGGTGTCACCGTTGTACTCCTTGGATAATCTAGGAGCTACGATTACTCCGGTCTTGTTGAGCGGAGAGAATGACAACCAACGAGTGGTCTTCGAAGTTTATCAATGCAAAACATGCTTTGCCAATGGGTCTTTGCCAAACCGGTCTACCATGGTGACGTACATCTCAGATGCATACAACTCTGGGAAAATTCTGAAGTTGCGTTTCTTGGTAGGAAACAAAGTAAAGGTGCATCAAAATCAAGTCAAGGTGCAGCTCGTGTCTTGTCGACAAGTGGACAATATGTGTTTGAATATTATGGTCCTCTCTCCAAGTTGTGAGAGTAATTTCAGGTGTTTTGACAAAGTTTTTTTTTGGGCGTGTTCCATTCCATAAGTTAGTGTCCAAGTTGGGAGTTCTTGATCTCCACTCTCCAACTTGAGGGGGAGTATTAGGATAAATACAAGTGTTAGAGAATAAGGATATAGTTTATATTATGATAGAGTTCAATTCCTTGTATTTAGGAATCTAAAGTTATCTAGTGTGGAGACATACTTGTATAAATACCCAAGGTTGGGATTATGAATAAACCAAGTCAGTTAAATACCTTATTCTACATGTTACTTCTACATCATGATACAGTTCGTGTAAACTGTATTTAGCCCCAAGAGTCGTCTTTTGTTTAAATTTTATACACCGAGCAAGAACAAAGCACTTTAGTCTCTCACTCCTCAGTTTACATATAACAAAACTAGAACACTTACAGTTAGAGTGTATCTTCCATCCAAAAAGCGTATTGGTCAACAAGTACTTGCCGTGTTAATTCACTAGCAGCAGTCTCATCTGTTATGCATTGATGGCATGTACCAGGTTGAACTAGCATAAAGTCTCTTCACTTCTCCAGCTTCCCTCAGACGTTTTATCTCAAAGCGTTTGCTTCACCTTTAGTGATCAGCATTAAACTGATTTACGATTCATCGAAACTCCCTCTCTAATTCTTCGTATACCAGGAAAAAAATGAACTTAATTATTTAAGTACATATAAGAGACTTAGTTTTCCCAGTCATAAACACAGGGGTTTTGATTCTTTTAGGATCTAGAGGGTCCTCCATGCATGCATGGGCGACTTCGATGGAGAAATCATCTTATCAGTGGAGAAACGGGAGAGTGTAAGTGTAGAGAGGAAACTTGAAAAACTTTTTCATTTATATTTGTCTTTTTGCAGTCTTGAATTATATATGGCATCTTTTTAAAACAGATAAATTGTCTTTGAGATATTTGTTTAATCATAAAGAAAAGGAAGATGAAGGAGGAACAACATGAACGTTGATTGGAGCGAAAGACAGAAAGGTCAATGGAGGAGTGATGAAAAAAGAAATCTCTATTAGATAGATGTATTGTGTTTTATACTTTTATATATTTGCCATTAGAGCATTTCATATCAAGGAAGAGAGGACTGTTATTATTATCTTGCCTATTGAACTTTTGATGTCCTTATATATTTTGTAGTTCTCCAAGTTTTCTAACAATTAAAAACTTTATAAAATATTTGATTATTCAACGTATTATTTCAGATTTTTTTATCACCGAATCATTTCCCTTCATTTTTTTTTATAATTACCAAATCATTTCTCTTCAATTATTTTTATAATAATGCGTATTTTGCTACATACAGACATATACAAAAATAAAAATTAACTACTAAATTTGAAGTGAAAAGAGCCAAAAACAAACTTCAAAGAAAGGCATAATAAAATACAACAATGATTTGGAAATCAAAATCAAAGAAAAAACATTTTACGTAGTCAAAAGTAAAATATTAATATATACAAAAACAAATATTAAAGTAAAATATTAAAATTAATCTATTTAAAATGTTATAAAAAATATATTAAATACAAAAATCTGTGCGTATGCGCGGGCATTAATCTAGTATCCTAAGAAGCTGAGTTAACTTGCATTCACAAATTATAATCATAACTATTTTGTAATTGCAAAAAAATGAAACATTAGTTAATATTTAATCTTTTCATCTTCTTTGCTTTTGCATATACGTTATTTCTTTTGCACTTTTATATTGACTGTAACTTTTTATAATAACACACTTGGATAGCTTAAGCGTGGATACTTTTATATAACATAGGATAATATGGTTCTTCATTTGACTTCCATTCATCCTAAACTTAAAATGTACACGTTGGATACTTTTTGTTTCATCCATTACAAATCAAAACTGTTATGTGGATAATTTATTTGGATATAACTGTCAATCGGATCCGATTTTATTGTACAAACAAAATCTAGATGTAGATAATAGTTGAACATTATTACGTATTACAATTTCAACAACTCTTTCGGTAACTCATAAACAAAATTCCAAAGGCCATAGTATATTCATAAGATGGCCTTTTGGAATCTGGTTTTTGTTATTTCAATTTCAACAACTTTCTCTTCCGATTTGGCTACTTCCGGAATCCGGAATATAACAAAATGGGTTAGACGAGATTGAAATCGTACAAGTCCAACGATGTAAATGTACAAAATTCAATTGTACATATCCCCTTTATTCGTTAAGGATAAAATGGAAATTTTTCAATGCTACAAGATAAAAATAAGTCCACCACAATCAAAAAGTCCCTCTTAGTGTAATGTAAATGAAAAAAGTCCCTCATAGTGTAATTCACTCTGCAAGCAACTATTACAAAGAAAGAAAAAGACAGGAAAGAAATAAACAAGCCCCAGCAGTTGACTGGTGACTTTGTAAGTTCTATTGCATTCTTTTGCATATACGTGATCTCTTTTGCATTTTCAACTTATCACTAGACTAATGCCCGCGCATACGCGCGGGTTTTGTTGTTGTTAAAGTTTTTAAAAAATGCTCGAAAACAATTTTAGATTTGCGATTATTAATATTATAAAGTATAATCCAATAATATCCATATTTAATTTCTATTTGTTGGTTAGCGACTGACTTTCAAACATATATTTTTGTATCATACCACATGTCTATGAACCATTAACTCTATTTGTTTACTCACGACCACATAGAACGGACTCTACTAATAGAGTGATTTTTGCTATCGATTTTTGCTAAATCCATTTCTCCATATATTAGGAGAATTTAGATGTTTAATAATAACTTAAGATGGAAGCCGAAATGTAAAAGTCTTGGATTAATAGAGTGATTTTTATTATCATAATTTGAAATGTATAAGATTTAGAGTTATTGACTGGAAAGAAGAGGAAAAGTCATGCCAGAATATCAATTAATGGAGTGTTGAAACAACATGGAAGGTGAAGCAACTGACGGTTTTGAAACCTATTATAACTGTAACGACTAAGAATGCGAAGAGACTGCTCTCTTTAAAAGTTTTGCCACATGTCAATCATATGGAGAGAGTTGGCCTCAATTCATATATATGATTTAATATGCTCTATAATTATTTTAATTTTGTATAAACAATGTTTTACTATATTACCTTAAAAATAGCAAATTAAATATAAAACAAAAATAGGTATAAAAAGAAAACCTGCGCGTATGCACGGGTATTAGCTTAGTGTAGTATGATATATCCATATTTTACATGTTTTAACTAAAGTTTTTATTATGTTTTCAATACAAATAATGTGGCTTTTATGCCTAAGAGGTAATTCTTTGTATATTTTGGTTTTGAGTATCAAATAGGTCAAAATAGCAAAGAAGAGGTTAAAATGGAGCAAAATGAGCATAACTACTAAGTCCAGCCAAGTTCCCAAGTCTAGAGCACCAAAAGTACATTTCTCGCTAAAGACAGAACCGGAGCATCCGAAGTTTCACCATGCATTCATGCCTTCCCGACATCCAAAAATCACGATTTTAGTCTTGAAAGATAGATACTTGAGTCATGCGTCGCGTCGAAGTGGAAATAGGTCATTTGGATCAACCATCATGGAGTAAATTATTTTCTGCCGAGACATATCCGAGTATCGACAAGATGAAGCCCATGGGAAGATTTGGTGTGTCTTGCGGCTCGGACAATGTAGGAAAGGGCTTGGCTCGTACTTAAATTGGCCTAGTTCAACTAAGGAGTCTTCCTTGGCCCGATCCCGGCCTGTTCAAGAACTTGGGAAGCAAGCTCAAGCGGCTGGAGAGAAATGAAAACTTTCCTCTTCTTGGCACTCAACTCCGCTGACCTAGACCCTCTCTTTACCTATATATACTTGATTTTACTCTCTTGTTTAGACATCTAGAATCAGTTCTTCACCTCTTTTGTTATTCAATAAAAGTTTCAGAGCCACTTAGGTGGTCTCCTTGCTCTTTCTTTTCCTTTTTGCATTTGTACAAACTCGCATGTTTAATTTTCTGCAAGTCTAGAAGTAGCGATTTTTCTTTAAGGGAGGGATGCGGTTTGATTCATATCTCTATGACTCTCTTTCCTAAGGATCTATGAGATCTCTTGTACTACCTAAGACTCATTATTGAATTATGGATCTTTCAATGAGGACATGACATAATTGTCTTCGAGAAATCGGTTGTTAAATAAAGGGGAAACCCTATAGGTTCTCCATCTTTATTTGCGCCTAATGCTTGTTGCTAGAGTAGCTAACTAGTGACTCGATCCTAGGTTGATATACTCTCCAAAAGCTTGTAATATCTCCGGATATAGTATTTGATGGGCAAATCATTTTAGGCTATGAAAGTAGACTTAAAGAGTTTTGTGAACAATCATTACTTATTTGTAATGCATGTCTCACTCTACAATGATCAACAAAAGCTGATCCCATTGGTTAAGAGAAATAGGGGATTGGAGCCACGAAAGTGGGAAAATTCTTCCTTAGTGTTTTGAGTTCAAAAGAATCGGATTTTAACAAACTTTTCAATCGATGTGGCATATGTTTTCAAAGAAGTTTCTCATTGATTCAATAATGTTGTTTGTATAGAATCACATTGTTATTTACTTTTATGTGTTTTGTCTCAACCTCACAAACACAACCCTTGCAATGTTTTGATTTAGTTTAGTATTTAAACTCTATGAATATGTAATGTGTAAAATCGCAATCTCCTGTGGTTCAACCCCTAAGTACTACAATTACATGTTGCGCATTTGCAACTATAGGTTGAGTCTAGGGATTTATTACTTGTACATCCCACGCATGCATCATAGTACCAATAGCTCATCAGTCCCATGTATTCGTGTCTGTCTCATCTAGCAATGGCAGTATATTCTCACGTTTCTCTCTGCAACTTTCGCCTTCTTTCTGCTTTTTGCTCTCAGTCTCTTGATGGAACTTTACTTAAAAACAACCACGACACCATTGCCCCGATTGAGTTGGTTTTTGGAAGGCTTGATACTGTAGCACAAGACAGAAGTATCTTGGTGGGTTTTTTTTTTCTTTGTAATTATGATATTTCAGTCAGTTAGGCGATTTTGGATTTGTCTGACGAATCTCAGAGCTAAATTCGAAAGGTTTGTTTCAGTTTGAAATCACTTGTTCTTCTTTGTCTTTTTTTAAGATGTTTTTGACTAAAGCCTCTTGTGGCCCATCTTATGCTTGATGCTTGCTTCTCTCTTCTCTTTGTTGGCAGTATAAGTGATGAGAATAAGACTCACTCTCCCTTCTTTGAAGAGTTTTCTGTGTAAACTAACAAATTACTGAAAAAAGAGTAAATTTTGATCTATGTGCAGAAGAAACAGAGGTTGAGAATAATTGCTTTTACTAACTACTTGCTTGAAAAAACAAATGAATGTTACTGCAAAAAGAAGTTGAACTACTGTTTCTCTCTGTCAGTGAAAGAAAATCTTGAACTCTCAAAACATTTTGACAGTAAAACTTTTAATTGCTCTATATGTAAGCCAAAAAAGATTAAAAAAGGTCAATGACTTTCTTTGATTTCTCCTAGCAGGCTCCTTTCGCCTGAATCAACCCTTTTTGACACCGGTCGCAGACATGGACTTGGGGAGCATTATCCTCAGCAGTGAGAGCAATCCTGCCTTGAGTACACTTGTAACAGAAGAGATCACGACAATTCCTGCAATGATGCTGAAATAGAAACAATAATACATAAGGATCATCAGGTCCAACATGGCCAAGAACTTATTCCCAAATTAGGAGATGAGGGAGGAACAATAATACCCTTGGCATAAACGCACCATAATCTGATCCACATGATGTGCACTTTGAAACAGCTTTATCAGGGACCTGAAGCCAGAAATAAACGTCATAGTGAGAAGAAAAAACAACTACATGGCAAAGGAGGACCAGGGTGATTTTTCCAACCAAAACTCCAGCTTATCGATTTGACAACAAGAAGGTTATTTTTCATTTCTAAAGGAAGGAAAAAAATCTTACCCGGTGATCTTTCTTGTTCATCCGCCTCCCCCTCCCCCAGTCTCCTTTCTTTTTCTCAGCAGGGAGGATAAGATGAGGAACCACAGTGTCCAGAAGGGTGTTGGTGGTGTAACTTTTTTTTTTTTTTTTTTTTTTTTGTGTAACGATTTGATTCCAGTCTGATACGTTTAGCTAAGAAGCCTACGGGAGATTCAAACCAAAACGCCAGAGTAGAAGAATCTAGTTTCTAACAGAAAGATAAATACAATGGATATAAGACTTGTCTTCGTTCATGCAAATGGAACCTAAAAAAAGTCTTGACAAGAATTGGTTAATATCTTACTTGCCATCTGGTGATGTTCTCAAGAGCATATTGTGTCAACGTTTGGCTAGTACGATCAATAATATGAAGGCATCCAAATCAACCTACTAGCACAAAAACAAACATCATTGAAGAAAAAACAAAAAGTGGAAGTGGAAGCGGGTTTCTTACTCGGACGAGGAACCGCCCGGAACCGGATGAATGGTACTGAAATGTACCATGTTTGTTCTCATATTGTGTAACACAAATTTACTGAAATGTTCCATTTTCAAAGAAGGAGTTAATCGGAACTCAGAATCTAGATTTGTTAAAAAAAGAGATTTAAATTCCATAGAAACAACTTTGCTTGTGTTATTGTAGTTCGACTATATATGTGATATGCACCAAAAAACCACAAATATGATCAAAATGTACCATGTTTGTTCTCATATTGTGTAACACAAATTTACTGAAATGTTCCATTTTCAAAGAAGGAGTTAATCGGAACTCAGAATCTAGATTTGTTAAAAAAAGAGATTTAAATTCCATAGAAACAACTTTGCTTGTGTTATTGTAGTTCGACTATATATGTGATATGCACCAAAAAACCACAAATATGATCAAAATCAAACAAAAAGATAAGTTATATTGAGGCTTGGAGTAGTGGACCTATTTAGAAGAAAAGAACAGTAAAGAATATGATATTTCTCAAGAAAATTACACAATTTAATAAACAATATTTACTATTCCCAACAATTAACCAACAATTGTTAACAAAATAACACAATTTAACCAACAATTGTTTAAAAAAAACACGTGTATTTGGACATTTGAAACCAACAATCGTATTTATACGGAAGAGAAGAAGTTAGTTATGGGAGATCGGGAAGAAATTAGTTTGTGGGAGAGTAATTGTATTTTGTGGAAGACAATTTTTTATTTAATTAACTGTAGTTTTAGCATTTTTTTTTTAATTGCAGCTATCAAAAGAACGTGTTCTTTTTCTTTACAGCAAAAAATACGGAAAAAAAGGTTTTTGAAAAAAATAAATATTCTATCTGATGTGTCACATTTTTACTTTTGAAGTGACTAACGATTTTCTTTTAAAACTTTCGCATAAAAAAGGGAATCTATATTTGTTAAAAACAAGAGAATTAAACTCCGTAGAAACAACTTTGCAAACTGCAATCTTTGGCTCAATCGATCAATGATGCGAGTGGAAGCAAGGTCAATTCTAGATGTATCGGGACGAAATGAGACAATGAGTATATATATTGCAATTAAAAAATTGCAAGAATTATAATTTAAAACAAATAAGTACAAATAATAAAACAGCTGTAATTTTAAGTTTTAGAACTTGGGAAATTGAACTCGAGAGTCGCATCGACCATGTGGCATAACAGGACAGTTGATGAAGTTGGATGCCGAAGTGTCAACGCATAGATAAATCTGATAGAGCTGACTATTATGCGACGAATCCTTGTTACATTCCATTCCAGGAGCAAATCCTATTGCTTCTTTGATCGCTTTCTCAATATCTTTTATTTCATAAAATTTATCATCCGGTTTGATCCCTACATATAATAAGAAAAGAACACCAATTAAACATAGCGCGAAAAAGCAAAAAACAGTTGGCATAAATTTGAAGGGGATGTTTTACCAGCATTAGTGAGGGCATGAAGGAGATTAGCTTTCTGTTTGAGTTTGAGACCGGCTTCGAAGTAATCATGTTGGTCAAGCTCGGACTCGGCGCACGTGCCGTGTTTCTCCCACTCGTGTGTCCAGAACTTCACACCATCGTTGCTCGGACACGACAATGTTGGCCATTCTCTTTGTAAATTGCTCATCAGATCAGACACCTTCACGTTTCATAAGTACATAATTTAACAACATTTATCAATCTATGGAGTTCCTTTTGCGCAACCTATAACAAAACTTATAACGGTCCCAAAATATTAATTTCCTAAGTTATCTGAATTTTTGTCTTTCTTAAAACACATAACATGCTTAAAGGTTAAAAAGATAAAAACAAACCCGTAATTCATCAAATTCGCTGTCGGGATTACAGTTCTGAGGCCATCCACCAGTTTTGTAGTTAGGCCAAAGACCGTGGATACCAAAATCCGCAGCTGGTTTCCCGGTTTTTGGATAGCAACAACTATTTCTTGAATCACAATACGCTCCGGGCCACTGCATTACAAAACATAAACATAAATTCACAACTATATTGAGATCATTCTCGTAGAGATACATATGCATTATTAATTAGATTTTGATCAACTTTACCTGTAACACAAAGTAGAAGAAATCGAAATCTTGGGCGACACTTTGCACGTAAAGTTGTTGTAACGCAAGAATAAAGATGAAGAATCTCATTTTCTCAAAGAAATTAAATGTGGAGAAAGAGTTAAATAGTTTGTTGGAAACGAAATTAGTGCAGAAGAGAAACCAATGAGGATAGATGAGAGGAGAAAAGGTTTGAGTTTTGTTTATATAAAGACAAATAACGTGACGTGTGATATTTGTTTTTGGGTAGACAAGACCTGACGTGTGATTGACTGATTGGTGTATGCAAATGCTTAAGTGTATCAGGTTAGTATTTCGTGCAAGCGTTTTATTTCCAGCTCCAATGCTTTTGAAAGTAGTAACGTAAGGCGAACGTTTTTTCTTCAACTATAACATAAATCATTTAAAATAATTAAAACAATTACAAACATATTTTGTTTGCATACCTTAGGGATTGTGGATATGTCCAAATTCAATTGGTTTGGTCGTATATCGATTAATTAGTTTTTGTGTTAACCTGATGTTCATCAGAAAATGAAACAAATTAATAAGTTGATATAGTTTTATGATTCTGTCGATGCACAGTTTGATTTGTTTTCCATCTTTTATTTGGGCATGGAACCGATGGATAGATTTAACAGTTTGTTTAAACATTTTGTGAAAACTCTTTTTCATGTTATAATGATATTTACATTCTTAGCAAAAAGAAAAGAAGAAGGAAATGATGACATTGTTGAGATAATGTTGATGATGTTACAATTTTAATATGGTAATAACATGACAGTATGATTACTATAGAGTATGATAATAAATGCTATGAAGTTCATTAATATCCATATTAAAATTTACATGACTCGATCGATTTAATTTAAGTATTCGAGATATCTTCAAACCGTTCGTTAACTTTGCAAATCCATCTTCCGTCAAATACTTATCATGTAGCTGCTGCGACATCCAAAGTCCAAACAATCCCTTTGCAATTGACACACTTTTGTCATAATCAATTTGTCCATTAAGAAGTCGTATAACTCATTAATGTAGCAAATCCACCGCATAGCCATTAGCCCACTACAACGTTGAAGTCGTCCATCTTACACACTGAAACTATTCAACATTTCATTACTACGAATCTAAAGCCAACATAATATTGCCCACCATAATTACACAACTCAATTATTACATACTTCACTTTTATTTCTCTATTCCTTGTTTTATTTTGAAAACATTCAAGTGTTACTGTCTACTCAAACAAAACCCATTCAACATCAAAATTAACTTTACGATCCACACAAAACCCAATTCGTAATTGAAAAAAATATCTAACATTTTAGGGTATGAAAGAAAAAAAATGAATAAAATGGTTAGAGTGGGAGTCGATCCCGGGTTTTTGGGAAAAAGAAAAACATTGCCACTCGATAATCATCGTGCCACAAGGAGAAACATGTCAAATGTAATATTAAAATGCATATGACATATTTCCTCACCAACAATCAGAGACGGAGAGTCCACTTTTATTTCTTCCGCTCCATTTTCTATCATCTTCTTCAACAGAACCTCAACCTTCAAATCTGTTCTCCGATATCTTCTACATCTATCTATCTATTTCCCTCACACACCCACGCTGCAATCAAAACAAAACTATCCATTTACGCTTCTCCTTTACCTTTTTTCAATTATTCTGTATTTTCCCCCAAATCTCTTCGCGGAAGCCAAGAATAACATTCCAAACCCTAATCCGATCCTCTGTCCTTTCTCGATTCTATCCGGTAAGTCTCCGATTTCCTCGATCCACCTGATTTTATATCAATTGTTTGATTCTATCTACTGTCTTCTCGAGGTTTCAGTATTTTTTTTGCTATTGTTAATTGTTATGGAAAAATTTAGATTGATTTGAGTGGTTTTTGTGATCTCTTCTCTGGCTCAGGTTTGATTTATAACTTATATATCCTTCGTCTCGAACCTCTGGGTGTTGAATATGAGTAATCAGAAGAAGAGGAATTTCCAGATAGAGGCGTTCAAGCATCGAGTCGTTGTGGATCCCAAATACGCCGATAAAACCTGGCAGATTCTCGAGCGTGCGATCCATCAGATTTACAACCAAGACGCTAGCGGCCTCAGTTTCGAAGAGCTTTACAGGTTCTCTTGTTGATTCGTCTTCTTCTTCGTTTTGCTCTCTTCAAATCATGGTGCATATGTTCATAAATTATACCATCTGTACAAACGATTATGCATCTCTGATCAAGTTTGTAGTTTCTCTGTTGAGCTGTTGGTGTGAGTCTTTTCGTGTTAACTTGTTGGCTGCTGAATTTTAGAATGATTCTCGTTTAGAAATGTTCATGATATGGTCTGATGCAAACTGATTTGTCATTTGTGTTTACTCTTCTTCTTCTTCTTCACATGCTATTTTTTTGTTCTGAATTGGTTAATGCTTGAATTTTGGCTCAGAAATGCGTACAACATGGTTCTGCACAAGTTTGGCGAGAAGCTCTACACAGGGTTTATAGCCACCATGACTGCTCATCTCAAGGAAAAATCGAAGCTAATTGAGGCAGCTCAGGGAGGGTCGTTCCTAGAAGAGCTGAACAAGAAATGGAACGAGCACAACAAAGCGTTGGAGATGATACGGGACATCCTCATGTATATGGACAGAACTTACATCGAGAGCACCAAAAAGCCTCACGTTCATCCGATGGGGCTTAGCTTGTGGAGGGACAACGTCGTGCATTTCCCTAAGATACACACAAGGCTTCTCAACACACTTCTCGATCTGGTCCAGAAGGAACGGACCGGTGAAGTCATAGACAGGGGTTTGATGAGGAACGTGACTAAGATGTTCACGGACTTGGGCGAGTCTGTGTACCAGGATGATTTCGAGAAGCCGTTTTTGGAGGCTTCTTCTGAGTTTTACAAGGTGGAGTCTCAGGAGTTTATTGAGTCCTGTGACTGTGGGGATTACTTGAAGAAAGCTGAGAAGCGTCTGACTGAAGAGATAGATAGAGTTGGACACTACTTGGACGCCAAGAGCGAAGACAAGATTACTAGCGTGGTTGAGAAAGAGATGATCGCCAACCACATGCAGAGGCTGGTTCACATGGAGAGTTCAGGTCTCGTTCACATGCTTTTGAATGATAAGTATGACGATTTGGCTAGAATGTACAACTTATTCCGCAGGGTGACCAATGGTCTTGTTACTGTCAGAGACGTTATGACCTCGCACCTGAGGGAAATGGGAAAGCAGCTGGTTACTGATCCGGAGAAGTCAAAGGATCCGGTGGAGTTCGTGCAGCGTCTACTGGACGAGCGGGATAAGTACGACAAAATCATCAGCACCGCGTTTGGCAACGACAAAACATTCCAGAACGCTCTGAACTCTTCCTTCGAGTATTTCATCAACTTGAACGCTCGCTCTCCGGAGTTCATCTCCTTGTTCGTCGACGACAAGCTACGGAAAGGGCTTAAAGGTATCGCCGAGGAAGACGTGGAGGTTATTCTCGATAAAGTTATGATGCTCTTCCGCTACTTACAAGAGAAAGATGTGTTTGAGAAGTACTACAAGCAGCATCTCGCTAAAAGGCTCCTCTCTGGCAAAACCGTGTCTGACGACGCGGAGAGAAGCTTGATAGTGAAGCTGAAGACGGAGTGTGGATACCAGTTCACTTCGAAATTGGAAGGCATGTTCACTGACATGAAGACTTCAGAGGACACAATGCGCGGGTTCTCCGGCAGCCACCCGGAGCTTTCAGAAGGACCAACGCTCTTCGTTCAGGTCCTCACAACCGGCTCTTGGCCTACACAGCCTGCAGTGCCTTGTAATCTCCCAGCGGAAGTCTCTGTTCTCTGCGAGAAGTTCCGTTCTTATTACCTCGGAACCCACACGGGGAGAAGATTGTCATGGCAGACGAACATGGGCACAGCCGATATCAAAGCCGTTTTTGGAAAAGGTCAGAAACACGAACTCAACGTGTCGACTTTCCAGATGTGCGTCCTCATGCTGTTCAACAACTCTGACCGACTCAGCTACAAGGAGATCGAGCAAGCCACCGAGATCCCTGCGTCGGATCTCAAACGCTGCTTGCAGTCGCTGGCGTGCGTGAAAGGCAAAAACGTGTTGAAGAAAGAGCCCATGAGCAAAGACATTGGAGAGGAGGATTCGTTCGTTGTCAACGACAAGTTCACGAGCAAGTTTTACAAAGTGAAGATTGGAACGGTGGTGGCTCAGAAGGAGACGGAGCCGGAGAAGCAAGAGACGAGGCAGAGAGTCGAGGAAGACAGGAAGCCGCAGATCGAGGCAGCTATCGTGAGGATCATGAAGTCGAGGAAAATACTGGACCACAACAACATCATCGCGGAGGTGACGAAACAGTTGCAGCCGCGGTTCTTGGCGAACCCGACGGAGATAAAGAAGAGAATCGAGTCGCTGATTGAACGTGATTTCTTGGAGAGAGATAATACGGACCGTAAACTTTATCGCTATCTAGCCTAAAATAAGTTGAATACCTCAACAACAACAACAAAAACAAAATCTCTGTTTCATTGCTTTTTGTTTCTTTCTGTTTGGTGTAAAAGCTTCTGAATTGTACGGTGGTGTCGGTAAGGACGATAGAACGAACTCTGTGTTTGCTGCCGATAGTCGAATATACAATTTATTTCCTTTTTATCTTTTCCTCTATTTGATCGGATTTTGTTTCCATCTACATTATAACATGTTTGTCATTCAGCTTCTATGATATTGTTAAATGGGCCGGACTAAGGCATTCTTTTGAGGCCCATTTATGAGAAGAGCGCAAAGGAAAAGAAATTTTTGAAGCGCGGCTAAAATTTCGGTTTAGTCGACAAAAATCCCGCCAAACGGCGTTTTCTTGCCCAAACGTTGGCAAATGGCAACCCCTATTTTTAATAGACTTTCTAGTAGCGATTCAATTGAGATTGACAGACATTTCTCGAAAATCTATTACTTCGTATTCGATTCTCTTGTATCAACTGTCGCCGGAAGTAAGGATATGGATATCTCCAACATAGCAAGGAAGCTTGATCTCGCTAACAACAAGGTTGTGGTCCGAAAAGCAGCGGAGATTCGCCGTCTTTGCGATGCTCAGTTTGATTCATCCATCATCGGCGTTGTAAGACAATTCGATCCCTCAATCTTAAATCTTCAATCAGCTATTTGATTACCATTCGCTTTTGAAATTTGATTATTATTTTGTTTTTGTATTTGATGGTCATAGGGTGAGATCTGTAAGGCTGTGATATGTCTGGAAATCGCAGCGTCTCGGTAATGTTTTGTAATTTGATCATCATTGATTCTATATCCGTATTGGGTGATTCGGAAGTAGCTTACTTTACTTAACTCAGATTCGAATCTATTGCAGATTGGACGTTATTTTCGACCGACACACAGCGATTAAATTGAGTGGTATGTCTGAAAAGGCGTACACCAGATCATTCAATAGCCTCCAAAACGTTATCGGAGTCAAGTGGGTTTCCTTTTCCAGTCTTTTTTCTACTTGAATTGTGAATCTTTTCATGAATCTGTTGGTTTGAGTTATCTTGATTGATGTGTTACTCTGTATTGTGCTTTTTTTTTTTCAGGATTAAGCTTAATGTTAAAGAACTGGCGATTCAGTTTGGATGCGTTAGGATAATCAAATCCGTGCAAAATGTGCTATCTTCGTAAGCTTACTTTTGCCCTTTTATGGAATCTGTATCTTCAATATTGTGTTAGCATGCTATATGTTTGATTAAATGCATGGTCCTGTTTGCTTTCTTGACTTTAAAAGGTACAAGGAGAGGTTTCTTGCGTCGCTACCAGCGACAAGAAGAGCAAATGCTGATTTCACTAGACCTGTATTTACAGCTGCTGCTTTCTATTTGTGTGCTAAAAAGCAAAAGGTAACAAAATAATACTTGCAAAAAATTTGTTTCCTTATCAGAGGGATCTCTACAATGCCTTTTGGACTGCTTTGGATATAATTAAGCTTTGTTGTCTAATTTGGCAGCTCAAGGTAGATAAAGTTAGGCTGATTGAGGTTTGTGGGACATCAGAATCTGAATTCTCTTGTGTCTCAACTTCCATGATGGAACTTTGCTTTGACTCTGTTGGGGTCTCCAAGGATAAGAAAGATGCAAAAGAGGTGAAAGGAAACCGAGGTATGGTTATTCTTCTTTTTCTTATATTTTCTACAAGTATGGACATATTTCAGTAGAACAAGAGAAGTGATTCTGTGCAAAATGTATCTCAGATTTTCTTGATGTGTTACCTGAAAAGAGGAGACTAGAGGATGGCGGGTATTCATCTGATGATGAGGTACCTTGTAAATGTCTTTCTTGTAATCTGTTTTAGAGTCACTCTTTCTTTGGGATTATTAAATGTGACCTTTGCTGATTTACACTACATTTGTATTGGAGCTTCTGCAGTCTTCATGTTACAAAAGACACAAGAAGATGGAAGAGGCTAAGTATGAGGACTGGAAATCTACAGTCGTTAATTCTATCAAGAAGAATCCAGAAAGAGGTGCTTTCTTAACTTCTTTTTGTAAAAAAGATATATCAACTACCAAGATTGATTTTTTTTTTTATATATGTATACACTCTGTTACTGATAGTTTTTTGGGTCTTTTGTTTATCTCAGGAGCCAAGAAAGTTATACAGACAAGTCTCAATTTCACAAAGAAGACTGAGAACAAAGAGTTGCAAGTTGATTCATAGCTTTTTACAGTGAGGCTTACATCCAGTTCAATATCTTGTTGTTTTCATCACATGAATAATATCTTTGAAATGAAATGTTTTGTCCCTGAAACCATTTTTGTTCAGTTACATATATGTCAATTTCTATGCAAATAAGAAACACAAAGACAACAAAATGTATTCTAAATTATGATAGGACATGTCTTTTCGTTGACCAACTGATAGACAAAAGAAAGGGATCATCTTTCGTTCACCTTCTCATTCTGATTCTTCTCCTTTCTCATTCTTCTTTGAAAGGAGAACCAGTATTTGACAAGTCATCTTTCGTTCACCGTAAACCTGAAAATATAGCCAACAAAAAACCTGTACTAGGAATCATCTCAACTTTACAAATAAATTATCGTTTAGCATTTGGAATGATTTGTAATAGCATCTGACCATTGTGATTTAACTTTGGATCTTTTTTTCTGTATTTTCAGGTTTGGCAAACAAATTAATAAGTATGGACCATTCAAGCAGTGGTCAGTCAGGTTCCTTTCGTTTGCCGGTAAACCCGAGCTAATCTCTCCGTTATCGCAGGAACAGTCAAATTCATGTGCTAATCCCAACAACACGCTCTTCAACCACCGCAATGGAACCTCTTGCAACAAGGCATCGACGACCCGGAGGTCAACAATGATTTATTGTAATCCGGAGGTCTTAGTGTTCAACTTTTGCAAGACTCAATTTTCATCTATATATTATATTTACAGTTCAAATAAAAAAGTATACCATAAAATATATTTTAATTTTGTTTATGTATATGTATCCTCATTCTTCATTAATATAATAAAGAAAAATGATTTACTACTATCAGCGGTTTTGTTTCACCTCTATTCTTGCTTCCAGATTCATGTATTTTAAGTTAAGCCCAAGCCCATGTTATCCACTTCAAATTAACAATTTTGAAAAAGGAAATTGACCCCGTCATAGAGTATATATATATGTCATGTTCCTTAGAATTTACAATTTGTTTGAAAGAGGAGCAACAAAAAAAACTTAGAGCGAGAGAAGCTAGAGAACGATCTCCTTTATAAGCACCCGATTTACAAAATCGCTTCCCCTCTACAACTCTCAGATTCCGCAATTGTATAAAAGCTTCACCTTTCTGAATCTTTCTGTTTCCGTTCGCCGGATTTTACACCGTAATCTCTCATAACCGATTTGGGTTACGAAACCCTAGATTTCGCGGACTTGATCCTAGCTAAAGGAGAATGGCTGATGATCAAGAAGTGGGAGGGAGTAATCCAGTGGACCTCAACGAGCATCCTTCGGGAATCGTTCCAACTCTTCAAAACATTGTCTCAACCGTAAACTTGGACTGCAAGCTAGATCTTAAAGCCATTGCTTTGAAGGCACGGAATGCTGAATATAACCCCAAGCGTTTTGCTGCTGTGATTATGAGAATAAGAGAACCAAAGACAACAGCATTGATTTTTGCCTCTGGAAGAATGGTCTGTACCGGAGCTAAGAGTGAAGAAGGTTCTAGACAGGCTGCAAGAAAGTATGCTCGGATTGTTAAAAAGCTTGGATTTCCTGCAAAGTTCAAGGGTTTCAAGATTCAGAATATCGTAGGTTCCGTGGATGTCAAGTTCCCAATAAAACTTGAAGGTCTTGCATTTTGTCACGGCGCTTTCTCAAGTTACGAGCCTGAGATCTTTCCAGGGTTGATCTACAGGATGAAAGTGCCCAAGATTGCGCTACTTATTTTTGTGTCTGGCAAGATTGTCATCACTGGAGCCAAGATGAGACAAGATACCTATAAGGCCTTTGAGAATATATACCCGGTCCTCACAGAATTCCAAAAGATCGTCAATTAGGTTGTTCCTCGGAAAACTAGTTGTCCTTGTGTTTGAGATGTGTATATATGGAAACACTTTACACATTTTGCTGTACTTGAAGAAGCATACTTGTTGATAATCTAAATTTGAGTTTGTTAAGAGGAAAAAAAGAAACTTAGATTTGGGAAACTATAAAGCTGAGAACTCACTGATACACCTCAAAGTTCCAAATGTTTGGATTGGGAAACAAATATAAACTATAACATTAATAAATAGGAGAAATGCTTAGAAGAAGTGTTTAAAGACGAGAATGTTAGCTCTCTCACACTCCCTAAGGATGAAGAAAGCTTCTATCACTTGATCAAAATGTCAGGTCACACCGGAAAATGAAGAAACTTTCAGTGAGCCGAGGTGGAGTTGGTCACCCAATACTGCTTCACGGCGATCAAAACCTTCTCAGGAACTAAAGGACCATCCTCATGATCAACCAGCTTCGAATCCCATCTCATTCCGGAGATGATTCTCTTCACCTTGATCAACGTGTCAACATCGTCCCTGATTATAACAGCTCCTTCTGGACGCAGAATTCTATCCATCTCCAGAAGAATGTCATCAGCATTGCACCTATAGATTTCCACAGCTTCATTCATTAGCAGCAATCTCACAAAACCAACGTATTAGTGCTTAAACAAGGTAAGAACACATACTTGTTCTTGTAGAGACTGAAGAGGTGATTGGCGTGGATCAAGTCATATGTTCTTGGATACGTAGAGAAAGCCTCACACCTGAAAAAACAATATTTAGACAATAAACAATGAAACTTTGAGAAGTTGTGAGAAGAAGAGGGAAGTTTCCTTTTATAAACTTACCAGTCGTGGTAGATTCCGATGAGTCCTCGTTCATATACAACTCCAAGTCTGTTCTTTTCAGCGATCGTGGGAACAACATTCATAACCCAAAGCTTTGTTGATTCAATAGCAGCAGCAAATCCACCAAACCCTGCATTCATGTCCATGATGTTACGGTACCTTCCTGTGTCAAGCAAACCGTTGATTCTCTTGTAAGCCTTCACATGTTTCTTCCACTGTCGGTTATCGTCTTCATAGGCATCAACGGTAACACCAGAGATCGAGCCGCTAGAGATCCTAGGCGGCACTGCGTTGAGTCTATCCGGGAACACCTGAAGCTCTCCTCCAGCTACTTCATCTGAGCCACTTGTCTCAGGGTATGGTGTAATACATGCCTCCATTTTCTTGTACCTAGAGAAAGATGAATGGATTAGAGCCAAAAACTAAACCTTTAGGTGTTGCAAAACAACAAATATGCGAAAGCCTACATACCAGACATCATCAGAATCATCAGTCTTGCAGAAATTGGCTCTAGGATCATCTTGTCTTGAACGGCAAGCCTCATCATTGACTCTCTTCTGCCAGATGGCGATCTCTCCGTGTTCATACTTCTTCTCCCAACAAAGAAGCTTAGCAGCTTCCTCAATCTTTCTCTGCTCTTCTTGAAGCTCCTCCTTGGGACGTTGCCACGCCTTGTAGTTGATCTTCCAGTTGATCGGAGGACCAGACAGAATCCAGTAGCCTCCAGGTCTAAGCACTCGGTCTACTTCCATCAAGTACATCCCATCTGTTCATCAAAACACCAAAAACACCATTAAGAAACTGGCTCATCTTCAACACTAAGCTGAAGGACAAAAGGTATAAACTTTTCCTCACCATTTGCTCCCCATGGGATCAAACACCGAGAGCAATGAGCCATGTCGAAAGCCCGTGTAGGGTACGGCAACTTAATAGTGCCAAGAACACCAATAACAGCAGGAACACCTCTCTCCAGAGCAAACTGAACCTGAGCCTCGTGTGAATCTCTCGGTGCAAAAGACATTGCACGCACATTCCTGCTCCATAAGTACGCTCCCCAACTCGCAACCTAATGAAAAACGTCTCAATTCAAACTTCACATTGCATAAAGACAGAGACTTTTCAATTAGAGAATCATAAAGGACAAGACTTTACCCCACAACCAGTGTCCAAAGCAGTCCTAACAGTTCCATTCTCCATCGGTATCACCGAAGCGAGCTGGTCAATATACTTATCAGCACCTTGAGGGAACTGAGTCCCACCTCCAGGGAATCTAAAAACGTCACCTTCGTACTGAATCCAATTCTGAATAGCCTTCTCAACAGTCAAGGCCTTATACGGCGCATTAGCATAAGGAACATAATCTCTACTCTTAGGCCAAGCGAAAGGCGTCACGTATCCTTTAGGTGCAGGTATAAGGCAACGGAGCTTCTCATTCTCCGGAGCGCAATGCCTTTCTCTGTAGATCATACTGTCTCTAGGGAATGTCATCGCACGCCGTTGATCTTGGCACGGAGTGTAATCCGTGTAACGAGCGTCGCAGGGCTCGAAAGTCTTGGCCTTTGCCGCTTCAGAGGCGCCGACGATGCTCGATTCCCCTGCGTGGTGAGTCTCGAAGTTTAAGCTCGGGACGATGTTGCAATCAGCTCCGCTGTTGGTCATCTCGAGAGCGATGCTGTCTCCTTTGCCGAAACCACTTCTTTGCCATGCTCCAAGAATGTAGAAGAAGCAACAGAGACTAAACACTATGAAGATCTGAACAGAGCTTCTGGTTTTACCATCAGCAGAATTTGACTTCATCGCCATAATTGATCTAAACCAATAACAGAAACCAGATCAGGAGGTGAAAAGTGTGAAGCTTTAGATTTCATAGTAACAGATCGAAATCAAGACAATTATACTTAGTGGTGTCTTCAGGGAGAAGCAAAAATAAATCCTTTTTGAAAACGTAATGAACAAAAGATCCGTGAGATTGACGAAAACATTAAAAGATCCAGCAAGCTTACATGAAACACTACTCTTTTTGAACTTAGGATATATTTATTATAAAAGGAATATTAACAGATTGAGCAAAATAATACAAAAGTAGACTCGATCTGGCAAAAAAAAAGGAACAAACATACGGAGATGGGAAATAGAAGTAGATTTGTCGGAATGAAAATAAATAAGAACATACAGAGATAGAACGAATCTGGGAGATCCAGTGATACAATTGGCTAATCAGAAGGAGCAATAGTCCCGAGAGTCTGAGATTGTTGTCGGTGGATGATGATGATGAAGAAGGAAGGAATCGACGATACGTGTAAGATCACTTGTGGAAACGCCTTAGTTTATG